GTACAGTGGAGGGTACACCCTACCTTAACCTACCAAAACCTACTTTTTTGTAGGGTCCCTATAAATTCCATATTAGGGTTTATCATAAGAACCTACAAAAAAGTAGGGTTTGGTAGTTTAAGGTACACCCCAAACCCTGAACCATGGAACGCTAAACCATGGAACCCTAACCCCTAAAACATGAAACCCTAAACTCTAAACCATGGTCTAAGCCTAGACCCCCCAACTACCCTCTAATTATACCCCAAAATACCTACTATTAAGGGCCATTACCTAGACCCCAAAGTACGAAAAATAATGGCCCAAAACCTATAAAAGGCGATTATTCAACATACTTTTGGGGTCCAGGTAGGGCTCCATTAAAGGGCCATTGAGAGTCCTGGAGGTTCGGGTGTCAAGATTTCGGGGCTCTGAGCCATTGGAGCCGTGGAGCCCGGCGTGTGCTTTTTCTACCCAAAGGCCCCAAAGTAGTTCCTTTTTGGGGTTCATATATAGAATCCTATAAGGTAATCCCAAAAAGGAACTACTTTGGGGCTTTTGGGTAGAGCCACAGGAAGGGTTGCTCAAAGGGTTCTATAATTCTATAAGGGATCCTTAAAGGGATCTACAGGGGTTTATAGGGTCTGGTTCCGATCCTTAAAGGGATCTATAGGGGTTTGTAGGGTGTATCTGGTTCCTGAGTGGTACTCTTTCGCCCTTTTTTCTTTTAGGGTCCTCTTAGTAAAATCAAATAGTAGGAAACACGGTGCCCGTGAGATAAAGGGGCAGATGAGGAACTTAGCGGAGCTGCAGGAAGGATTCGTTCAATTAAGGGAATCGGATTAATGGTGAGGGTCCTGGGGGCAATGTTTCTTTGTCTTTGAGGTTTGGGGCTTCTAGGTTGTAGGTTTCGGTATTTCTGCTAGGGTTTAGGGCTCAAGGTTACGCACTTCGGGCTGAGGCGCTTAGCGTGTTTGCTGGCTTTTGGGCAGCGGGGCTGAGAATTTCAGCTAACTCCAGGCCGCAACAGAGGTCTCCAAGACCCTGAAGACGACTGCGTGATTGAGGCTGGGTGGTGGTTAGGAGTTGGGTAAGCCTGCAGTGGCTAAATATCAGAATACGAGCTTCCAGCTACTAAGACTTGTGGGATTGGGGTTCCAGGGTTTAGGAACTTCGGATTCTTAGAGCTTGTGCCTTTGGGGTTCTACTTGAGGTCTCCTTTGGTCTCGGCCCTGGGTTTGGAAAACCCTAAGCCCCAAACCCTGAACCTAAGCTTTGCACGATTGTGGCACTGTCATAACTTACTGTCATAACTTTATAGGGTTTGGACATGTGACCTGAGGGGTTTAAGAACACAGGTGTTGGGTTTTAGTTTCTCTTAAAGCTCACACGCCTCTTGGCAGGCGGATGCTGTGACGTTTCGGCTGATGCTGCTTGACGCACACGCTGTGCAACTAATCTGATGGCGGGGCTCCAGTTGCCATGGACTTAAAATACCCCTAAACCCAAAACCCTAAACCCTAAACCCAAAACCCTAAACCCTAAACCCCAAGCCCTAAAGATCTTAAACCCCGAGACCCTAGACCCATTTCAGCATCGTAGACTCCCAGCTCCAAGGGCATGAAGCATCCACTATATGGGAGTTTCCGAAAATAGGGGACCCTAATACAGTACCCTAAATAGTAGGATCCTTATTATAAGGACCCCTAAATAAGGTGCTCCTATTTTCGGAAACTCCCATAGAAGCCCGCATGATTACCCGATACCTGCAGCCCGGCAGTAAGTTTTTTGGAACGTGTCAGGTTGAACCCTAAAGCCTAAACCCTAAACCCAGACTTTTGGGAGGATCCAAAAAGTAGATCCCTTAATGGGGGTTCCTACAAAGTACCCTTAGTAGTATAGCGCCCCAAATTAGGGAATCTACTTTCTAGATCCTCCCGGGGTCGGGGAAGGCCTAAACCTCCAACCCGTTCGACGTCATGGCCAACTTCCAGTTCTCGAAGAAGTGTGCTGGAGTGTAGACCCACGTAACCCTAAGCCAGAAATGCGAAATGCTGAGCTCTAAGGCTGTTGTTCTGTAACTTACAAAATTACAGGATACATAGCTAGCTGTCGTCTGTTATGCATGATCTTTTCTATACCGTAGGTTATAATGCATTACACATCAAGCTTTGTATATTGTATATTAGACAGCATTGCATACGGTATAGGTACTAAGTCCCGGGAGTCCAGGTTGTGTTTTGCACTTGCCTTTGTCTTGCCTGATGCCAACAGAAAACCTGTTCTTTACTACTACTTCTGTCCTGCCCTAAACGCTAGATCCCTTAAGCCCTAACCCTAAACCCCTGAACCCTAAACCCTACTGGAGCCCACGGAAATTCTTCGCGTGCTTTTTTTCAGGATCACTCCAGCAAGGGTCCAAGCCCTGAGACGTTACTGCTCTGCAGAATTATGGTTTACCCAAAGGCTCCAAAGTAGTTCCTTCTTTGCGGCTCATATATAGAATTCTATAAGGTAATCCCAAAAAGGAACTACTTTGGGGCCTCTGGGCATGTTTCTTATCAGATAACTGAAGGGTATTCATAAGAACATGTTTTTTCTCTTGCTCAAGGGCGGCTAAGTGATAGAGGACCTGATTGAAGCATTGGGCCTGCCCATCGTGGGAGCGTATAGGAGAGTTTAGGGTTTGGGATTTTCACTTTCGGGTTCAGGGTTCAGGATTTGACGTTTCTGGATTTTGCAATCGCGGGTTCGGGTGTAGAGGTGAATGCAGAGCTTTCAGCCATTCAGTACCTGTTCTGTTTCTGATACCCTGAACCTCGGCCTTGAATCATGCTTTTGTGCTTTAGGGTTGGGGCAATCAGCCGAAGACAGTGATGGCATTAGGTCATGTCGTGCCCATGCTTACCTTTGGTTCGTAGGGAATGGAGGAATGGGGTACAATTATAACTACTATTACTACCATTCTTCCATTCCCTAATAACCAAAGGTAAGATTAGGTCATGTCGTGCCCATGGTGAGCACAAGCTCGGAAACATGCGAGTGTCCTCTAGCCGACTCTAGCCGGGCATGGCTTCGGGCTGTTGGACTGGTAAGGGCTAGACGACGCTAGGGACACCGCCCTAAACCCTAAACCCTAAAGGGGCACTGCTGCCTAGTGCTAAAGTTATGTTGGAAGCCTCGAACGCTTGGACCTTTAACTCTCGAGCTTCATGGCACATCTCAGAAGAAGGAAAAGGCGTCACGTGCAGTCGACGGCTATTCTATTCTACTCTAGTCACTACTCTAGTCTGTTCTGTTCTGTTATAATGTTGTCGCAGCAAAAACACTGGTAACAGCATACACGGATAGCCGTTCAATTCGTATCGCATATTTAATGGCAACACTGCACATGCGGTCAAAGTCCCATTAGCGAGCATGGTGCTGACCACATGTCGGGTTCAGTGATTCGGGTTTGCATTATCAAGGTATACAGGGACAAGTGAGAATGCCATGTGTCTAGGGTTCCGACATTAGTAACTGGGGTGAAGGACCAAAGACAAGGTTGACCTTGAGCCGTTCCAAAGAATCCCGAAGAGCCCCATAGCGCAGAACACCCATTGCCTGAACCTTAACTCCACTTGTCATTTTTTCATGCAATGAGTTTCTTGCCTCCGGGTCCGTCCCGGTCCCGCGAGAACAGCACAGATCCAGCATTGATGAATAAGCTGAGCCCTACACCCTCAACTCCCAAAGTTATGGGGTTCTTTTCAAGAGCCGCGAAAGTTGGCCGTGCCTCGTGAATCCATATAGAAGCATGAATAATTACCAAGATTGTTCCCTAGACTTCCTTGTGCAAGTATACTGGGTAGTACGTATACCGTCTACCCCCCTAACCCGACTCTTATCGTTAATTACAAGGCTCCCATGTTGTAGCATGTTAGACTCCTGGTCGTCTGTTTCCGCACGCGGCATCGCAGCTTTCAGAACTTCAGCTGTGGGGTTTAGGCCCAGTCTAGGTATGCAGAATGCGTGACGTCTTAGGGATCAGCTCGAGCGTATGTTGCATCGCAGCCGTTTGGCAACAGCTTGAATGATCGATAAGTCGAAACGTCGATATCCCAAGCACCACTGTCTGCCAGAACACTGCGCTTGAAAGCAACATGCACGAGCCCTTGGCAAGCGTATAGTTTCATAATGTATTTGTATACCATACTATACCCTTTCAACCGAGTTTAAGCTGTTCAGGCCCCCGATAGCCTGAAAACCTTCAGATCTACAGTCTGCCCTGTTTCAGAGTTTCGGTCGAAACCCGTAGCCGTAGTCAAAACAAGGCACATCTTCGCCCGATTAACTCGTCTTGTATGGCTTGCTTCTACACGAAGCCTATACCTAGACCCCCCAAGTAGGTACAGTAGTGGCCCAAAACCTATAAAAGGCTATGATTTTTCATACATACTGTTGGGGTCCAGGTAAGCCTCATTCCTATAGCTTCTTCGAGGGTTCAGGCCCTCGGATTGGGTAATATGGGGGTTTAAATTTAGATTACAAATATGATTTTGTGGGGGGTTCCCGACTATAATCATACAAAAGTGGGCCCCAAAACCCTATTCTAATCATTACGGCCCCCATGCAGGGTTTGAGGTTTCTAGGATTGCGTTTGGTAGGGGTACCTTCCTCAAGGCGCGTCACACCCCACTTGCCCAAGACCTTGGCAAGCTTTGCGATCTTTCATCTATCATATCAGATCCATAGTACATGCTCTAAGTTTGCATTAGAGTCTTTGCATGTTGGAAGAAGACGTCGACCAGTCCCAGCGGGGCGCAGTTCTAGATTTGCACTTCTCCCCCCCCCTTTCATGGTTTCAGGGTGTCTCCCCCAAGGGCTCCATGTACCCATATAGTAGGTACTTTGGCCTTATAGTACCTATATAGGGACCCCTACCTATTATATGGGCACATGGAGTCTTAGGGTCCACAAAGACTAGCTCAGGGCATAGATTTCAAGGCCCGGGCTTTGGATTTTGCGTAGCTCTTGAGCGGATGGTTGCGGTCTCCTCGCCTGACAACGATGCTCTTTGGCAGCAAGCCGAAGCTTTCGTAGCCAGCTGAACCCTCGCTCAGGTTGACATCTTGCCCGTGCCTCACAGGCCATATAAATTGCCATATGGGAGTTTCCGAAAATAGGGGACCCTAAAATATAAGACAGTACCCTAAATAGTAGGATCCTTTCTATCAGGACCCCAAAGTAAGGTACCCCTAACTGTCGGAAACTCCTAAATAGCCATGACGACATTTTAAAGGCCATGAAAAGTAGCATGATTGCCGTATGGACTGACTTACCTTTGGTTAGTAGGGAATGGAGGAATGGGGTGCAATTATAACTAACCCCAAACCCTAAACCCTAGAGCTTAAGCCCTAAACCCTAAACCCTAAGCCCATTCCCTACTGACCAAAGGTAAGCTAACACGAGATCCAGGCTCCGGGCAAGCCGTGCGTGCAGTGCCAGCAGCGCTACGTAGCTTACAGCAATGCCTTCTATGCAGCCGCTCGGATGGGCTTCAGGGTTTAGGGTTTAGGGTTCAGCGTCCGGTTTATGGTTTCCACGGACTTAGAATCAGGGGAGATCGAGATTGCAGCTGGGTTTGGGTCCGTAGACGAAATGGGCATCACTAGCAGACATGTTATAATCCCGATGGGTCTATGTGCCTATACAGTATGTGCAGGCCTTCAAGGGTTCCCATTTGGTACTTCGGGGTCAATAGAATATGTACCTTCTGCTTACATGGGCCCTTATGGCATAAGTGTCGTGCGGTTTATCTAGGAAGTCAAAAACGGCCTGAATAAACTTACACCCTACACTAGGCCCTGCAGGCTCTGGTGAGAGTACGACAAGCATACGGTGCGTTCCGGGGTTTGTTTGTAATCGCGGTTGCAGACTGGGGCTTCGGGTTCGAGTTTAGTGTGCAGGGCTTAGTATTTGTCCGAGGACCCAGAGTAAGCCCTTATTCCATTTTTTGGGGTTCAGCTTCCCTTATAAACCCCCTTTGAACCAAAAAGGGCACCCTTTTTATTGCCAGGTTTCTCCTGGGTCTCCAAGCCCTTGCAGATGAGTTCCTGGTGCGGCTACAAAGGGTTTTTGAAGGTGCACAAAACGATCTTTCGACTAGCTCTCTCTAAACAACCAGGACCCTCCTTGTACCCTCAAAAAGGGGGATATGGTCCCAAATAAGGGGCATTTAGGGTCTAATAGAGGGTAGATGGAGGGTCTAGGAACTGGAGTATTCCGAGCAAGTCACTGACTTCCGCACATCAAGGTGGAGTCTGCGCACTTTGCGGTCAGAGCCATAATCGAGGCCCCTGATCGATAAATCGCTACCCTTAATAAGGGTTATCTGATGGATCCTTGTTTAAAGGATCGGGATGTTTGTTTTTGCTTGTTTCAACTTTTTGACCCAACAGAGCGGTGAAGTCAAGTTCAGAAGTTTGTTCCGCCGCCCTCACCGGAGGGTCGAACAACAGTTGCTAATCTCCAACTAAACGAAACATTGAGCACCCCTCCAAAATGTGCTGCTGCATGATGCAACTTGCATTTTCCTTACTCTCCTCTCCCGAAACCCTAAACCCGAAACCTTAAAGCCAAAACCCTAAACAAGCTCTGGCACTGAGACCGTGGTGGCGCGCTCTGTCTTCTTCCCTCGCTGCCAGCACGGCCCTTTTTGCAGCTCGGCTGCGTAGTCTGCGTTCTTAAGGTAGACCGGTAGACCGTTTGGGGTTGAAGTATCGAAATCCAAACATTAATCCCCATAAACTATAAACCCCACACCTTCAACGCAAACTACAAAAGGCCGACCATGCTCCGGGGTTTGGGTTGAAGGCTCTCCTGAAAACCCCCGCCCACCCCTTTCACCACAAAGGTAATGCAGGCATATAAGCCACACCTTGAACCGAAAGTATACAAGCTGAGCCCTTAACACGACCTTATCACACCGAAATGGGGGTTATCGGCAGTGAAACCGTCGGATTAGATATAGGGATTCACTGGCGGGAGGTTTACAAGGTTTTGGCCCTCATGTACGTGATGTTTCAGACAACTGCATGTTTACCTGTCTGGTTCTTAGTAGAGAATGGGGGAATAGATCTTTGTGAGGAATCCCAGAAGGTCCCCTGCAAGGGTTTATGGTTTAATAGTCCCTACAACCCCACCCCCCCATTCCCTACTAAGAACCAAGCAAATACCTCCGTTAAAAATGTCCGTAAGCCCCGACGCCGAGGGGTCGGATCCTCTGAACCCGTAGGATCTAAATCCTGAACCCTGTAACCTCCAAATCACCATACCCTCCGTAAGCCCTTTAAAGCTTTACCCTTTTAGCCCCTATAAAGCACCCACCCTGAACCCTGAACCCTTAAAGGAGCCCCTGAACCCTTGAAGTAACCTTTGCTGGAGCTTAAACCCCTAAAGACTCCTCCAAGCCTCAATGCCGCTGCGCCCCCCTAACATAGAACCCTACTATGGATGTATTACAATTAAGGATCCCTTGAAAGGAATTCTGTTCTGATGGTTGATGCAAAAAAACCCGAAACCCCTAACCTCTAAACCCAAACCCTGAACCCTAAACCCTTAAAGCTGTAAAACTTGGGGGCCTTTGGGTAGGGCCTAGGGGTTTAGGGCTTAGGGGTTTTTTTGAATCCTGAAACCTGTAACCTCCAAATTTCCCCTAAAGCCTCAAAGCCATCCTTTTAAAGGAACCCCTAGGACCTAGAGTAGGCCCTTATTCCCTTTTTGAGGGTTCAGGTTCCCTTATAAGCCCCTTTAACCCAAAAAGGGCACCCTTTTTCTTCGTAGGTTACTCTTGGGTCTAGATGAAGGGGCCCCCAAATCATAGTACGGCCCCTACATTAACTCTTATCACCGGGTTTAGGGCTTAGGGTTTAGAGGTTAGGGGGGTTTAGGGTTTAGGGTTTAGGGACCCAGTTCGAATTCTTAAAAGGCGCCGGCTGCAAGCGCAAAGTCGCCAGCCGCACCCTGGGGGCCTGCGTTTGTCGGGCCCTTCTCGAGGGCTTTCGGGAGGCCGGCGCTTTGGGGGTTTGGGGTTTAGGTTAAGGATCTAGAGTTTAGGGTTTCTAGGTGAAGGATTTAGGGTTTAGGGTTTCTAGGTGAAGGATTTAGGGTTTAGGGTTCATAGGTTAAGGATTTTAGGGTTTAGGGTTCAGAGTTTAGGGTTTAGGTTGAGGGTTCAGGGTTTAGAACTTTGGGGTTTAGGCTAAGGGTTTAGAGTTTAGGGTTGAGGGTTAGGGTTCAGAGGGTTAGCGGTGTAGGGTTCAGAGTTTAGGGTACAAGGAGGTTTAGCCTGAGAGCCTGAAACCCAAGATTGGGTTTGGGATTTCGGGGTACACGACAGTGTCATAAGAAGGAGCAGGAACCCACAAGGAGTGTTCATGGTCGTCGAATAGGCCTCCAGGTTACTGCGATAAACTCCTTGTTAGCAGCACCCCTTCAGATTCTACATTATCGCAGGTAGTCTCATAAGGTATGACCAGCATGATTTGGCCGAGTAGGCTTTGGGGTTCTGGGGCGATGTGTTTAGATGGAGGGCGGGAGGGGGGGAGGGGTTATACCACTTCTTATATTACGAGGCGGAACAACTCCCCATATCCGATCTTAAGCCCCCAGTTTGTCGGGGCTGTCAGTTGCCAACCACCGTTCTCCTGCAGTACTGCCAGTATATAGGAGGTCGGAGTAGTTCGCAGTCCTGGTCTAGTTGAAGAACATGGAACTCTTGTAAAACATATCTCATGGGCTGGTAGAAACTGATAGAAACCTTAAACCATTGTAAATATCTAACCCAATAAAAATCCCTAGACGCCTGATTGATGTCCTTCAGTACCTTACAAGCCTTACAAATTCCTCACAGAAGCCTTTGTAGAACCCATAAACACCTAGGAAAATCCAGAAAGATCTATAACACAATAAACCCAAAAGCCCCATAACATCCTCAGAGAAGCCTAAACCCTAAGCCCCAGAAAATCGTTACAGAAGCCTCAACCCTAGACCCTACAAAATCCTTACAGAAGCCTTTCTAGAAAATTCGAAACCCTAAACCCCCTACGACTTACCTTTGGTTAGTAGGGAATGGAAGAATGGTAGTAATAGTAGTTATACGTACCCCATTCCTCCATTCCCTACTAACCAAAGGTAGCCCTAATAAAGTCCATAAAGATTAAGAAAACCCTAAACCTTAAACCCCACAAGATCATCACACAAGCGTTTCTTGAAAACCCGAAACCCCAAACCCTCAACCCTACAGCCCCTACGAGAGCCCGAAGCATGGGTACTTAAAGCCAATAAGGAATACGAATTTAAATGTTTAATCCTATCCCAACCATGAACTGGTTTCTAGAAAACACGAAACCCGACACAAGCCTTTCTTGAAAACCCTAAACCCTAAACCCTCAACCCTAAACCCTAAGCCCTAAACCCGAAACCCTAAAGCCCCTAGGAGAGCCCGAAGCAGTCAGAGGCTCTTAGGTAACCAGAGGAAAGTTAACCCTAAACCCTAATCCCTAATCCTTAAACCCCTAAACCCTAAACCAAAGGTAGCCGAGAGCCCGAAGCAGTCAGAGGCTCTCTGGCCTGAAGCTGAGCCTGGAGACCTGGAGCGGGCTCGCGAGGCGATCCGCTGGGGGTGACCCTTTGAAGGGCTCCTTTTCAGGGTTTAGGGTTTAGGGCTTTATTTAAGAGGCATGAGAATCATAAAACTTATGGTTTTTTTATATATATATATATATATACATATAAAGTCATAAGAATGAGCCAGTAGAGTACATCCCATCATTTTCAGAGTCGGGAAAGATATCGAGTCGGAAACGGTGCAGTAGCCCCCCTGATTAAGGTAACGAGCAAGAATGATAATACCAACGATAGAAATGAGAATGCGAAGGGTCATACGAGCACGACTGATGTTAGTAACCGCTAGTAATAACAATAGGAGTTGCAAAAATACTGTAAGGGTCAGGGGTTGGCGGGCTGGGTTTCGCCCTGGCGGTTGGTTTCGAGTTATTTTTGCGGTGCCAAAAGGTTCCTTCACGGGTTCTATAGAAATACAAAAATACGGGTTGCTCCTTAGAAGGGTTACTGTAACAGCTACCTAGGCCCTGTTTTATAACCTCCCATCCCCCCGTGTAAGTAACGCCCCGATAATCAAGTCACTACGAAAACTATAAACCCGTAAGAGCCCTTGAAGGAACCCCCAGAAGCCCCCGAAGGTTTCAGCGTTTCGCGTGTACAATTAAAACTCCGCAGCCTAATAGGATTCATTAGTACAGTTGTAGTATAACATACACCAAAACCCTACTCTAATTTGCATAGGTCCCTATACTAAATCCTCTGAAAGCCGCAAAAGCAGCCCTTATAGACCTCTTTTAACAAGGCCCTATTCTAATAACAGAGGCCTATATTATGCTCTCGCCAGGAGATGATGCTCCGAAAAGCACCTCCCACCACGCCGAGCCCAGTGTGGACACCTTTGGAGGCCAGGGCAAACCCGTAGGGTTTATATAAGGTTATTTAGAATAGATTTTGGGGGTTCCTTGTTCTAGCTGTACTGTAATATACCCCCAAACCTTATTCTAATTACGAAGGCCCCTACATTACCCTAGATCGTTCCTTTCAGGGTTCTTTTCAGGGGCACCCTTAGGGTTTCAGGCCGTTGGGGTGCGAGGTACAAGAGATTTGGGCCGTAACTCAGGAATCGACCTTCAATATCCTGAAACCATGTGCAGGATCGTTGTATACTTTATAAGGTCTGTCGTGCAAGTACTGACATAATGATGAGTTTTCCAGCTACACGTAGGGCTGCTGAAGAACATCCACAACCAGGCGGCACTTGGGAACTTTTGAGTTGTTTTTGGTTTCATACGGGTAGTGTAGGGGGCGGAAGAAGGTATAATCGTCTTCCTACAGGCTCCCTTAATGTATCTACACCAAAATAATACTCTTCAAAACCCTGTTCTTATTCTTGAGGGCCCGATAGTACCCATTCATAGTCACTGCTTTTCGGAGACCTGAGTTTTAGGCCCCATCTGACCTTCCAGCTCAAAAGCCTCGCTACCTTGAGGTCCAGAACCAAGCTCAAAACCCTAAACCCTAAACCAGCTCAAAACCTGGGTAAGCCTCTTGACTGGTCAACGGTTTAGGGTGAAGGAGTTTAGGGTTCAGGGTTTTGTCAGGAGTTTGGGGTTGAGGAGTTTAGTCAGGAGTTTAGGGTTTAGGAGTTTAGTAAGGAGTTTAGGGTTGAGGGTTTAGGGTTCAAGGATTTGGAGTTTGTTTTACCGCTCAAGACATGGAAGCCAGACGCAAACCGGGACTTAGTAAGTAGGTTGTAATTGGGGTTATAAGTCCCCTAAGTGGGGTTATCCTAAATATATCCTACTTCTAACCTTACTTACTAAGTCCCATGAGCCTTTAAGTAAGACCCTGAACCCTAACGCCCTGGAGACTCTCCGGTCGAAGCCCTCAGCGACCACCCACACTGGCCGACAGCTTGGGCATCAAAGACGCATGGGACTTCTGAGTGGGTAGGGGTGCAAAGACCCGGATGCATGGAGGCTTACCCAAAGGCCCCAAAGTAGTTCCGTTTTGGGGTTCATATATAGAATCCTACAAGGTAATCCCAAAAAGGAACTACTTTGGGGCCGCTGGGTAGCGTTTGGATGTCGTTGCTAGTTTGGCGCGTGCAGGATTTCAGGTTTGACGCGGGTTGAGGGTTTTGGGTTTCAGGGCTGAGCCTTTAGAAAGCCCTTGCCAAATTGCAGGCCCACCGACAAGCAACGGATGACCGCAGGCGGGAATCGGAGGTAGCTCTCAACGCTGCTTCTCGTTTCAGCTGGGTTAGGTTAAGAAGGTTTCAGGATGTACTTCCAGCATTGATGGCAAGCATGCGCAGGGTGCCGCAGGCTGGGGTTAATATTGTAAGCAGATGCGAACCTGAATGTCCAGACCCCTGGTTTGTAAAATTCGGGTGTGCAGAAAAGTCCAGATTCATACAGGGGTCCGTGCTAACTAGTGACACTAGTGGCGTTAACAGGAAGCCGAGCAACGAAGCACAGAGGCATGGTTGGTCAGCAAGGTGTCAGGGTCCTGGCGTTGCGCGATGTCTGTGTTGATGATGACTTATGTACATATTCAGATGTATACATTCTTAGGGCCACACATGCAGTTCGCTTCAAAATGCTAATGCTTGTCATTAGTGCCGCATCTCTTCGTTTCTTCTTAGTATATTGTCCGCTATTCACTCTACTTATCAGCATCTAGCTTTCATGCTGCTTGGAACTGTTCCGCATGAGTGACTGGGTTAAAGTGGCCGTTAGAGTGTACTCTTAGTAGCTGGCCTGTCATGCTGGCTAGGTTTCCAGCCGTTTCGTTGCTTTGTTTTGTTCATTGTCGGGATTCTTGCTGCTGACATGTCTACGTCATGTTGCTGCTGCCTGTAGTCGTGTTTCATGCATGCATGTTCGCCCCAGTTGTCTCCGGCAGGATCATACCAGTATGAGTAATCATAATGCTGACACCCCGAAGACCAGTCGTGTAAGTCCCCCGAAAGGACCCCCACATAGAGCCAGTACCGGACCCTTACAGAGGCCTTACTCTAGGAGTTAAAAACCTTAAAACAAACTCTAACGGCCCCTTACACAGCTCTCAGCGTGACCCTTACAAGAACACTTTCAGAGCCCGAAAACAAATCCCTAAACCCTAAACCCAAACCGCATTCCCCAAATCCTACACCCTACGCCCTATATAGTCCCTAAACCTTTACGGCTCTAACATAAGCCCTAAACCCTGTAGTACCTATATAAACTCTTGAATGAAGCCCTAACATAAACCCCAAACTTAGGCCCAGGGGGATTTCCGATGAGCAAACGGATCTGCTGGTCGAAAAAGGGGCACTTAACAGAAAGAAGCCCTAGAAGCCCTAAACCCTAAACCCTAACCCCTAAACCCTAGAAGCCCTAATCGTTCAGGTCTGCCGCAGTGGCTGCTTTAAAGGCGGCAAAAGCCGACATCGCAGAAGAGCAGTCGCTGGTGAGCCAGGAGGCCGGTGAACTTCGAGGGGCGAAGGGTTTAGGGTGTAGGGTGTAGGGTATAGGGTTTAGGGTTTAGGGTTCAGGGTTTAGGGTTTAGGGTGCAGGGTTTAGGGTTTAGGGTTTAGGCAAGGGGTTCCTTTTTAAGGGTTCTATAGGGGTTCCTTTAGGGGCTCCTTTTAAGGGGGAGGCCGGGGAACGGGGTGATGGCTTTGTCTTTGCGTTTATGTTTTTTTAGGGGCTTAAGTTTTAGGGTTTAAGGTCTAGGGTTTGCTTATGTTGTGTTTAGGGCTTAGGGCTTTTGGGGTTTAGGGCTTGGGTTAGTTTGACGAGCTTTTGGGGTTTTTAGGCTTTAGGACAATAGGGTTATAGAGCTTTTAGTTAGAGGTTTTGGTTTCGGGGTTTAGGGTTTCAGGGTTTGTAGGTTGTAACATTGAGAGTTTGAGTTGAAGGTTGAGGGTTGAGGTTATGAAGTCGTGCATTGGGCTTAGGGCTTCTTTTCGGGTGTCTATGAAGGTTTGATGGATTCAAGGGCATGGGTTATGCATGGGTTGTGCAGAGTTCATGGGGTGTTTGTTTTTTTTGCTGGGGGCTTCGAGGAAAGGGTTCAGCGGTTCAGGGATTTAGGGTATCGATCTTTAAAGATCTTTAGGGGTTTTGGAGGTTTGTGCGGCATTTGCGGCTCTCGGGGCTTTACCGGGATTCTTGCGAGAGGGTGTACTTGTATTCCAGAAGCGTCGCGTTTGCTACAGCGATCGCCCCGCACCGGGAAGCCTTAAACCTGAAACAGTCCCTTTTAATCGTGGGAAGACGGTTGAAGGTTTCGGGTTTTGGGGATTTTTGGGTAGCAGCCTCAGTTAGTCGTCTGCAAAGACGTCTGAGGGCCGTGTTGATAATGAGTATCTGACTATGTCGGGTCGGTGTCCTCGCCGAGAAGACCGAGGAGTTCATGAGACCTTCAGGGAGTGGCCCGTATGCGCTGCTGAGCCACAGACAGACACCGTGAGCGTAGTGAAGCCGCACAAAAAGCACCCAGATCCTAGAAGACAGGTTTAGGGTTTTAGGGTTTAGGATTTAGGATTTAGGGAGTTTAGGGTTTAGGGCAAGTTAGGGTCTCAACCACAAGTGGCAAGCCCTCCCTTCCCCTCCCTAGGCCGAGTAGATCCCGACTCTACGAAGATACCTCGATCCTGGTGCAGGTGAGGCATGGCCCATCCGCAGAGCGCCTCGTCCTAGGGTTCCTTTGAGGAAATCTTTAAGGGTTCCTTTAAGGTTGCTATAGGGGATCTATAAGGGCTTAAGGTTTAGGGTACCTGATCTTGGGGGTCTGTATACGAAGGATCCTCCGCTTTCGTCAGATGGAGTTTGCAAGTGTGGGACCGTGTTATCCTATTCTCCAGATCGAGAGAGGCCAGTACTCATTAAACGTGGCAAAGTCAATACACTTACAGTGTAGAGGAGGCATTCTACGCATGCTTGCAAGGTACTATAATAGAGTAGAGTAGAATAGAATAAAAATTAGTGCAATATACTCTAACACGATATGATATGATATGGTTTGATGCATTTCGATTGTTGATATGATATGGCCTAACAAAGCATAACAGAATGCAACATAGCATAACATATATGTATTCTTATACGTATGTGTATATATATATATGAATAGTTCGGGTATTTTCTAGCTGGAACGTTTGCACGGGCTTCTGGCAGGCTTAAAGGCTTATTACCCATGAAGCAAGCACACATCAGACCTTAAACTCTGAAAGTTTCAAAAGTGCCTACTGTTAACCCCTACATCCTTAACTTTTGAGGAGAGGCATTGTGAGTCTTGGTGATCTTAGACTTTACACACGGTAAAGTTACGGCGTGAAAATGGCACACCCCATTGTCCCCATTGTAGTTCCTTTTCGGGATTACTATATAGGATCCAAAGCACAAACATGGTTAAATCAAAACAACTACAATGGAGACCATAGGAATAAGCCCCTGATACACGTAAGACCCAGACCGAGGCCAAAAGCTGTTCGCGACAAATCGAATCCTCAACCATGCCCTGCATGGGTAGTTCTCTGAGTTCGGGCCCTTTTAGGGTCCTTTGATAAGGCTTCCGTACCATTTTGGGCACCCAAAAACGAGCGAGTCCTTTAGAGAACTACCCAAATTGTAGACTGGCAGCTCTAAATCCTACCTATAGTCTCCATTGTAGTTCCTTTTTGGTGTTAACTTTCAGGATCCTTAATATAAAACAGGTAAAACCAAAAAGGAACTACAATGGAGACTATAGGTATCTCCAAAACCCCCAAAACTCAAATCTGCATCTACAGCCCCTTCTGCCCAAAAGTCCCTCCCTTCAGCCCAAAAGTCTATACTAAAACCCCTTCAGCCCACAAGTCGGAGACCCCATGGGGCTTGGGGCTTCGTCCGAAACTGCACATGTAGGGTTTAAGCTTTATAGGGTACCCCGGAGGCCCCAAAGTAGTTCCTTTTTGGGGATTACCTTAGAGGAATTTATATATGAGCCCCCAAAAAGGAACTACTTCGGGGCCTTGGGGTAAACCCAAGGCCAAAAGCCACAGGCAAGCCCAGAGACTCCAAAATCCCTTAATTAAGGAACATACCTTAAATTATAGTAGGATCCTTAATATGATTTAAGGAATATTCCCTAATTAAGGACCCTAAACCCTAAACCCCTAAACCCTAAACCCTAAACCGTGTGAAGCCCAGGCCCTCCGAGGCTCCAGCCGCCACCTTCAAGCGCCGCGCGGGTGCCAGCGCTGCTTTGGAGGACGCTGGGGTTCAGGGTAAGAGGATGGGAGTTTTTAGGGGTTTAGGGTTTAGGGGTTTTAGGGTTTAAGTGTTCAGGGGTTTAGGGTTTAAGGGTTTAGCGTTTAGGCTTCAGGGTTTAGGCTTCAGGGTTTAGGGTTTAGGGTTGAGGGGTTTAGAGTTCCGGGCTCTGAGCAGTATGAGGAGTATTCCCGTAGAGTCCCTCCCGCAAGGGCCTGAATGATTAGAGTAGTCAAGGTTTAGGGTTTATTAGGGTGTATCTTCAACCTGGAAGCCGTACGAGCCGTCCCTTGGAGGGTCATTTTGGCTACGCAGTTATCTCTGCCATAGCGGACGGTCATTGGGGGTCTGAGGCTCAGCTTGTCCTTGAGGGGTAATGGGAACTGGAAATGATACCAACAAGTTCTTGTGTGTTTAGTATAGTACAGAGGAGCTGTTTGACCCGAGGGGCAAGATAATCCCTAACGCCCCACACTCCTGCACCAAAGAATCTAAATCCTCCAAATTCAACCCAGATCGCGACCCTTGAATGTCAGCCTCAACAACCCAAAGCCCAAAGCACGAACAAATCTTGAAGCCGTTGCCCAAATGTAGAGGTCTGAATCGTCAATATTTTAAACTACGCCGTCTTGTATTCCCCATAAGGGTGCAGGCTACTCATTAAGGGCCCTCAGGAGAGAAGCCGTGTCACTACGGAGTCAGACATGAGTCTCAAAGACTGCGTCGGAAGTTGCACAGTTTCCTATTTTCGCGACGTCGTGCAATACCACCATAGTCATAGTCCTCAAGCACTATGATAAACGGCGCATTGAACCTGTGGTGAAGAGATTCGACGAAGAGTTAGAACCCGACGAATCATGGTTGCTCTCTTCGACATTTTTTTACTGAAGCACCCCCAGCTTCTCCGACTGCTCTCGCGCTGCAGAGAAACCTTCGGGGATGTGCCAACTTTGGCCCTGCCACGTGCCCTCCCCGCCGTGACGCTCGCTGCAATATGGCATTACGAACCTATGGGCCTAATTGAATATTTAGTTCTATACTATTGGGGGGTTCCTTGTAAAAGATACTGTAACACTATAATAGACTCCGAAACCACTCTCCCCTGGTACATATATTATAAGACTAGATAAGTATACCCCGAAACCATATTCCAAGTAACTAGTAAGGCGTGCATATTAGCCCTCCAGGCCCTGAGCCCAGTCTTCGCCAGGAAGCCAAATCCCAAAAGCTGAAGAAGCGCAGCGGCGCAGCAGAGCCGGACGTCGGGAGCTTAGGGACGTCCGGTAAGGGCTCCACCTCAACCCACCAGAACCTACTTTTTGTGTAGCGTCCCTCTAAATTCAATGCAGGGTTTTTGTAATAAGAACCTGCAAGAAAGTGGGTATCAGGAGGTTATGGCGGTGAAGGTAAGGACTCATAAGAGTCTTTTGAAGGTTGACAGGCTTTCGTTAAGGTGCCATTAAGTGTGTTCCCTCAAGGGGTACACAAGGGCCTCAAGGAGCTTAGTGAAAGGCTTCAAGGACTCGTGCGTATTACGGCTTTGCGAGCAGGATCTAGGGTTGGGGGGGCTCATGGCTTCAGAGTTTAGGGTTTTGGGGTTTCTATAGGAAGGCAAGGAGCTTTAAGGTTTATTTGGGTGTGAAATGCGTGCTTAGCTCACTTTGCAAACTCCGAGTTGCTGGTATGAACATCATCAGTCATTGCCGACATCATGCTTGCCACGCGCACCCTAAACCCCACGCCTTCATCAATAACTCTGCCATTCTCAAACATGCTCTCGCCACCCGACATGGGGCTATCCTTCTAGCATCTGGCTCCCCTTTCTTGTGGCAGAATGACAACAGTGACAAAGACCGCGGGAGATATCCGTCTCCCTTCGCCATACCTTCGTTTCTCTTGTGATCGCTCTCTCCTTCCCTCTCTTTCTGATTCATTTCAAGCAACGGTAACAAAGGGCAAAAGAGAAATCGAAGTCCAAAGAGCAGGGGGCATATGAAAACATAGTGGGATGCCCTGCTCCCTTACCCTTAGCTTACATGGAAAACACAACAGACACAACTAGAAGACCGAACATGAGGGTAGCAAGAGAAGAGAAGTGACGAAGAAAGGTGGACGCCCAAGTCCTATATATGGCTCTACAGTATCAGATGCCGCAAAACCCCGGTCTAATCACGAAGGCCATGGCACGAAGGGGCAGCTGTCCTCCAACTGGAGCAGAACTCGAACGTCTTCGACAACCCACGGCCGGTAAACCCAAACAACCTTGACTAAAGACCAAAACCCGTCTGGAGAAGAAACGTCCAGAACCCGAGGCCCTGAACCCTCAAGCCTTAAACTTCACCCGCTATAAGCCCCAAACTCAAAACCTTAAGCCCTAAACCCAGAAGCGCAAAACCTTAAACCCTAAACCCCCAAACCTTAAACCTTAAACCCTAAACCCCAAAACCTTAAACCCTAAGCCCTAAACCCAAAAAGGCACTGTCAACAAAGCAGAAGACCCCAAGGCGCCCCAGACCCGATCGGCTGCAGAGGCTGGAAATGGGGGGGGGGGGGGGGGGGGGGGGGGGGGGGGGATTGAGGGTTTAGGGTTTAGGGTCTCTGGTAGGGCAGGGTTCAGAGTTCTGCCTGCTTGGTGTTTAGTAACGTATACTAAATTCTATGTTATATACAATACCCATGCCATATTATGTGACGTTCTCTGATGTTGGTGTATGTCATATCATGCCAGATCATATCATTTCATATTTACATCACATCATATCATATCACATCTCATCGCATCAGAACATATCATACATCACGATCTTATGACATATCATATCAAAACGTCATATACCCTGTTATTGTGTTGTCTTATATGGCACGTTAATATGTTATTGTCGTATCAAGTGAGGTAATGTTGTAAGATAGGGTTCGTTCGAGTGAGTAGTTAACCTTTAACCTTCTAGGCAACTTCTTGTGTAATTTTAGGTTTTTCGGTTTGAATGGTTTAGCTGCTATCCTCTATAACCCAAGGGGTTTATAACTCCAGTCCTAAGCCCGTAATCTCTTTTTTGGGTGTTGGGTGTTGTTTGGATTTTCGGGGTTTGCGGGTCTTATGTAGGCATCGGATCTTCGGTTTGAGGTGCGGGTTTGGGTACTTTTGGGGGTTCAGGGTTCCTAGAAGCCCGGCTGCTTCCAAAGTGGATTCCGATACGTTGGATTTGTGGGGTCCGTAACATGCCCTTGTAAATCAGCGGCCCCAAAGTAGTTCCTTTTTGGGATTACCTTATAGGATTCTATATATGAACCCCAAAAAGGACCTACTTTGGGGCCTTTGGGTAGGCTTGTTTATTTGTCCCCATGGGTCTCTCTCAAGACTCCGAAGCCAGAGGCAGGGCACAGTCACAATGGAATCCCAAGCCTTGAACCACCCCAGCAGATGCGTTTGGGGTCCTGATGAGAAAGCCCAGTATACCCCAAAGCCCTATTTAAGGCCCTATTTCAAGTCCAGTATGACGGGCCGCTGTATGAACGCTGAGTTTCAGTCCCGTAACCTCTGTCGTATGCGAGCAATGATGTCGCTGTGATGGCGGTATTGCAGAGTGAGATGATGATGGTGCTGATGCAGTCTGCAGAGTGACGTTGTCGCAGGTGTTGACGATGATGACTACGGGCCAACATTGCCAGCGATGAAAACTACCCATAGGCCCCATAGCAGTTCTTTCTTGGGATTACCTGATAGGATTCTACATACGGACCCCAAAAACTGGGCTTTGGAGTTCCATACTTTAATACTTTTTTCTTAAAGGAACCCTTATGAAACAAAAGTGTATACTTTTTACTCCCTGGTTACTTACAAGCTCAGAAAAGGAACTACTATGGGGCCTATGGGTAGGAAGCGCCCAACTAAACTGAAGCTCAAAGCCCTGGGCCTCGGGCCCTCTACACCATCCAAATCCAAAAACCTGAACGCCTTGAAAGCCTATAGTAGAAGCCAGAAAGTTGGAATATGGCTTCAGAAGGATTCGTGCTAGGATCCCTTATAATTTACCTTCAGGGCATGAGGAGAATGATGTTCCAACTGTCTGGCTTCTACCCTAAACGTTGGAAGGTCCGGCAACCGCAAACTCCGGTCGCCAAGCGCTACCCAAAGGCCCCAAAGTAGTTCCTTTTTGGGGTTCATAGATAGAATCCTATAAGGTAATCCCAAGAAAGAACTACTTTGGGGCCTCTGGGTAGAGACCAGTTTGCCAGGTCGCGGCAGCTGTGGCCACAGAGGCCGTCTCGAAGGGGAGATTCCTGGAGGCCGCGCTTCCTTTTCTTAGGGTTTAGGGTTCAGCGTTTGGGGCTCATGCCGGATTTCTGGGGTTCCTGAGATGTTCTTTATGATTTTCGGTTGATTGAGGTGGGGTGTTTTTGCCAGTTTAGGCCAGTCTAAGCGCTTCCTAAACCCTAAACCCCATAGATCCCTTTAAGGAACCCTAAAAGAGCCCTTTAAGGACCCTTCATCGTCTTAGTTCAAGTCGTCACGGGGGTCGAAAGGGTTCGGACGTTGGATTGCAACACTCTGTGCTCCGGAAGTCTACCCGCAGGCTCCGTAGTACTTCCGTCTTGGGGGTTCATATGTAGAATCCTCTAAGGTAATCCCAAAAAGGAACTACTATGGAGCCTATGGGTAGACAGGTTTGGTTCAACCTCATTGCGCGATGAGTCCCAGTCGGGAGCTTGAAAGTTGGATTTCGGTGCATGAGGTGTTTGGGCATAGATGTGCAAGGGCTAGGGGCTGTCATTCAATATGGAAGCTCAGCGGCTGAACCATAAACCCCAAACTGTAATAATCAATCTCACACCCTAAACCCTACTTGTTATCTAAACAGCTCTGAGACTGCGTTCCGTTCCGTGGCGTGGCCCTACCGAAATGTATGAAGAAAAGCATGAGTGTCATGCGAGCAACTTGCCTGCCGAACCTCCAGATCAGCGTCATAGACCGGGCACATCAGTTCAGACGTGCTGGCTTGCCACTGACAATGGAGAGTCAGTCAGCGGCCGCTTGTGTTTAGAAAGGAGAGAGTGCGCCTTTTGGTCAGGCCGGAGTCTGATAACCGTCAAGTTTGCAGGCGCCAGCCAAACACTGCACTAACTCTGATGGTTGCAGGCAGGCCGTCAGTCATGATGTGGCGGCCTCAGCCTGCAAAGCTCACCGGCGCCGGCGCTCCTGACTCAGAAGTGCAAAACTCCTCAACCTTCTGGTCTTGAGCCCCGTTTCCTCGATCCTGTGCAAAACCCTAAGCCGAAACCTGAAACTAAGCTGCCAAACCCTAAACCCCTAAACCGTAAACCCCAGGAGTAGAAGACTCCCTCCACGCTGACCAAGAGGCAATCGCACTGCTGCTAGGGTGCTAAACCCTAATCTGAAGCGCAGGAGGTTGAGCTGTAGTTAAGTACAGGCAGAGAGCAAGTCCTCGATATGGGAGTTTCCGAAAATAGGGGACCCTAATATAGTGCCCTAAATTGTAGGATCCTTATTATAAGGACCCCGAGAGAAGGTACCCCTAATTTTCGGAAACTCCCCTTTGGAGATCCTAGCAGGAATCAACATCTACAGGGGGCAGAGGCGCTGGAACCCTGGTCCTAAAGCATTGAAAATCCCCAAACCCCTAAAACCCTGAACCCCCCCAAAAAAAAACTAGAGCCCAAAGCCTTAATCCCTATCCAAAGTTCCTTTTCGGGTTCATATATAGAATCCTAATAAGGTAATCCCGATAAGGAACTACTTTGGCGCCTTTGGGTAGTCCCTCATCGAAAATCCTCAAGTTCTTCTGCCCAGACTGCCTCGCCTCCCCGGCCGGCTAAGTTCGCACCACGGCTGCCCGCGGCGAAGGCGTGGGTTCAGGAGGGTAGGTTCAGGCTTTTGGGTTTAAGTTGTATACGGTTCAGGGTAAAGGGTTCTACAAGGGTTGGTAGACAGTTAAGGTTTGTTATCTGGGATTCAGGGCTCGAGTTTTTAGGATATGGGTCTTTTTCAGGGTTCATGTTTTAGGGCCCAGTGGCTTTCGAGCTTGGCGATTAAGGAATCTGCAGTAGCCTGCTTCCGCGCTTCATCGCAGAGCTGCTGGCATTGATCAATCGAAAAACGAGACATGTTGTGGATAAATTTGCAAGTAACTCTGGGTTTCGCAGCTTACGGATGCACAGTGACTAGAAGGGTTGACGGATTACGGTTCTTGCATGTTGGGCTGCAAGGGCTCCGTGAGTTTAGATCGGGATCTGTCTAGTGAGTCGCTCTTCGCAAAATTAGTTTGGGGTACAGTAGAAGCCGGAAAGTTGGAATATCATTATCGTAACCCCTTTAAGGTAAATTATAGGGGATCCTACCATTAATCCATATTCCAACTTTCTGGAGTTCCCTTTAGCTAGTGAGCCTCTGGGCCCGACCCAAAATGACTAAATCCGAGTAACCCTGCAGGCCCTACTGTAGGGCTTTCGGGTTTAGAGTTTAGGGTTCAGGGTTTAGGGTTTAGGGTTGTTTAGGGTTTAGGGTTTAGGGTTTAGGGTTGTTTAGGGTTTAGGGTTTCGGGTTTAGGGTTTAGGGTTGGGCCCTACTTAGTATCCTTCTCGTCCAAAGTCACTGGACTTACCGTTTGGAACCTCGAACCTTGCTATGTTGGGTACTTGGTCCATCCAGCGAACCCCGAAACCGTAAATCCTATTATCGTAAAGCGTAAAATCACCCTTAAACTCCTAAGAGTAAGCCTTACAAGCCCCCCAAAAAGGTAAGCCCAGCCCTACAAGCCCATATAAAGCCATGAGATAGAACCCTCAAGGGAAGCGATTAAGGAGGAACCCTGTAAAGGTACATGACCCCTGGTGCCAGACCTTGAACTCCGGCAGGTGTCAACTGACCGGCAGCCACTTAAAAGAGAAGTTTCAAACGGAACCGGGAAGGAGACTTGGCCTCAATGGGGTCTTACAAGGTTATTGAGTCATATAGGTTTTTGTTGGACTTATGGGTCCACATAGGGTGCTGCAAGGCTTCAACATCTTCCGTGCGGGGGTAAAGCTGGGTGTTATCTCTTATAGGTGATGAGTGTTTTATGGAGTTTTAGAGCGTGCAAGAGAGAAGGAGTCGGAGACCCCTAATGACACCCTCACTTCACGTGGGTTGAAGTTTTCTGAAAGGGCGTTTATAAGGATTATATTAGGGCCCTATTATATTCCTATTATACCACTATTACAGGGTGGGGGCCCCTTCTAAGGTCTAGACTTAGCGTGAGCGTTCGCCAAGGGTTCTACTCGTGTGTTCTCAGGGTCTTTTCGGGCCTGCATCTTTATTTTCACCCACAGCTCTGGTGAAGAAGCCTGCCATAAACGGTTAAGAAGTATTATATAGTTGGGAATATATAGTACGAAAGGATATACATATTTTTACATGCACAAATACATTATATAAATATATACACATACATATATGAACATATACATATACATATATGCGTATACATATATGTGTATATACATATATGTATTGGGAATTCACAGTACAGTGGCCCTGAAAGGAAGGAGGGTTGATTCATCAGGGTTCTGCAGTAGGGCTTTGTCCACAGAGGGGCTTTCAGGAGCTTGGGGTCTGTGCTTTTGCGCTTCGGGTTTAGGTTTCATATAGGGGCCTACTAGGGTAATCATAGTATATAAGGAAGCCCCAAAGTAGTATGATAGCGTTTTGGTGCCCATTACACTATATTTGTAATTTATAACAATAATCATAAGGACCTCCCCCCCCCAAATAGTATAGGTAATCATTAATAAGGCTCCTATGGTGACGGCATGTATACATTGTGTGCGCAGACCCATCACCCCAAGGCTAGCACGTGGAATCTCAGGTGGACAAGAAGCCCCGACTGATTTCGGCGGGTGACAGTGATGCTGAGGAGGATGGGAGTGAGTAATCAAAACGGCCTCAATGACTAGAATGGGGATATCGTCCCTGTACTCATATTTTTGAATCTATAAGAGGATAGCTTTGCAGTGCCAGATGTTCAACCCGGAACCCTAAACTCCAGGTCCTAGAACTTTAGAGAAAGCTGACTGTCGGATTGCTACTAGGTGTTTCAGGTGTGGAGTCAGGATTTGGGTTCTAGGTCGCCAGAGCTCAAGGCTTGCTGCGTCGAAGTACAGCAAATCCTCAGCATTCCGTATTCTATACCCTATAAGTTGGGGGTCTAAGCAAGGGTTAAGGCTGAGGTTTAAGGTTAAGTCCTGACCCAGACCCGACTGCCCGGAAACACAGGATTCGACTGGCCGGCCGTGCAGAGGCTGCTGAAAAGAACAAAGGGGGTTTGAAACCTATCAGCGCCGATCATTTCAGTCAATTTAGGTGAACTTCAGATTTCAATGCTTATGCCCACCCAGGGCCACGACGCAGAGGTTGAGGTTCAGCGCGACAGCTCCACTCACGACCTGCACTAAAGTCTATCCTCGTTCTTGACATCCTAGGGTTGAAGTCGTCACAGAACTCGATGTGTGTATTTATATACACATGTAGTTATATGCACATATTTACATACGTGTACATCCACCTTATGTAATGAATATGAATAAACATACTTGTAAGTGTGTATAGATGTATATGTATATGCTAAGACAGAACACATACATACACCATGTGCATACATAGTTACATAATGCACACACACATACATATCCATACCCATAAGCATATGCTCATACACATACGCATAGGTATTCACATACATGTACATATACATATGCATATACATGTACACATATGTATACACATACGTATGCATATTTGTTAAACAATTAAGACACAAATACACGTGAATATACACATTTCCCTTCACAGTTGCATGCACATTCATATACACATGTGTACATGCGTCACACATGCAAGCAAGCAGACCTAATTTCATCCACAAAGACATCCATCCATCCATCCATCCCGCCAGCCAGCCAGCCAGCCATCCACCCATACAGACTTACGTGCGCACGCACACATATGCACCTACGTACCTAGCTACCGGCCTGCCTATCGACCTACTTACCGACGCACCTGCGAACCCTGCCTATCTACCCACATAAATACGTGCATGCCTTTGTGTTTATGTCTACATATATATATATATGTATGTATGTATGTATGTATGCATGTATGTATGTATGTATGTATGTATGTATGTATGTATGTATGTATGTACATGTGTGTGCAATGCTACGTCTCCCAGACTGAGAAGCGGGCAGCACTCAGAAGTCTATACATTCACCGAGACTGACTTATTATGGCTATTCTCGAGACCCTATAACCGAACGCCTGATGCGCCAAAGACGAGAAATCAAGCTAGACACGGCCGAGAGCCTTGAAGCTACGGAGTTCGAAGTCGTATCCTCTCCACCCTGAAGGTTGGACCCTGTAAGGGGTTTTAAAAGGCTTAGAGGTTTCCGGGCAATGTAGGCGCCTGAATTGGGGCCTGAATGAAGACATTGCTCTGCACCCCATTCCCCCTTCCCACCCTCGTCAAAAAGACATAAAACAACAAAACTTAAAAACACAGTGTAGCTATTCGCGCCCTCCTATCGGGCAGTTGGTGGCTCTGCGGTACTCTGAAACGCCAGCATCAGGGTGAACATGGCGAACGGTAGTTTTCTGGGTTTGGCGGACGCCTGGGGGACCCGTTTGGCTTGACGTATTGTTGAAATGTGGCTCATCGAAGGTTGAAAGACCAGCAGTGCGCAGCCAAGCCCTCAACCCAAGGCCTTTGCCACCCTGCGAGCACTAGATCCCTGAACCCCAAACCCAATGACTAGGCCACCAGACTCTGTGAAGTTCGTTCGAGGTTGTATTCGTTTGACATTTGACAATGGAGGGTCCGAACATTTCAGTACCTTCCCAGGGGTTCGCAAGTACCCAAAACCCCACACTCCACTCCAATTATTACGGCCCCTGTCTTGCTACCATTTGATTAGGTGGTGGGCAAGTACGAGTCATAAGAGTTAAAGCAAGGCAAGCATAGCCTAAGCAGCTCTAGCAGTGAGCCATGTCTGCAGAAGACACTCCGCAAGGAGGCCGGCACGTGCAAGGACCTGGTTCTTTGGAGGTTTTGGGGCGTTTAGTGCCGCAGTGTATCAGAATGAAGTGTAAGTGTATTCCCCAAACCCCTAAACCCAAGAAACTCCTAAACCCTAAACCCTTATTCCCCAAACCCCTAAACCCAAGAAGCTCCTAAACCCCGATTTAGAGCCTCGGCCTCAGGTTTGGCACTGCAGACTTTTCTTGCGAGGGCTTCTAAGTTTGTTTTTCTGGCTGTTGAATTTAGCGGTGTGGCGGCGCAGAGTGCAGCTGAGCAAAGTCATAAAGAGATGCACAACCATGTAACTTCGAACGCCTTCTGGAAATCCTTTCATTCAAGTCTCTCAATGCCCGATGCTCGATATCGCAACGCCCCGTGACTGTTTGAGACTTTGCAGTTTAGGTTGGATACTGCCCCCACTCAGTAACAGTTGGATAATATTCATTATATAGATATATTAGGCCCTTAATAGTAGCCCTATTATAGACTGTTACTGTCTGGGGGGCAGTATCCAAAGTTTAGGGTTTTGCAGTTTCCGCTCTACTGATGCCAGCCAGGTTTTTGATCTCTGGGGGCATGCTTCGTGGGCCGGATTGGACATCTCATGATCATGAGGTAGCAGTAGTAGTAGGAGTGGTAGCAGTAGCAGTAGCAGTAGCAGCAGCAGTAGCATTAGCAGTAGTAGTAGTAGTAGTAGTAGTAGTAGTAGTAGTAGTAGTAGTAGTAGTTCTAGTAGTTCTAGTAGTTCTAGTAGTTCTAGTAGTTCTAGTAGTAGCTTCGTCATCATCTCCCTGACCCAACGTGGTTTGATTTTCAATCAAGCCTTCCGCACTCGTGGGTTGCCATGGGCTCCTACCTGCAACTCATTGAATAACAACAGAATTCTAGTCTTGGGTACTGCCCCACTCAGTAACAGTTGCATAATATTCATAAGATAGATATTTTTGGACCTTAAGAGTAGCCCTATTATAGACTGTTACTGTCTGGGGGACAGTACCCAATTCTGGCTGTTCAGTTCAGTGAGCCTACATTAGGGCTGCGGGTCCCTTGAACTGTCTGCTCAGCTCTGGATTCCAGCAAAATCAGAAACTTGAGGCAGCGCCCAGCCGCCTGGTGATGAGGGGGCGGGCAAGGAGTGCCACGACACCAGGGCGTGATGTTCTGCATAGATTCGTGCCATAGGGTATCTACACATGGAACTACTTAGATCCCCACTGATAGCGTTCTGACTTTACTTGCTCTAAGTCCCACGATGGAAGTTCCAGAAGGGGCGGCGACTCCCTTCAAGTCTCAGCAACGGCACTGATTCCTAGATGCTACGCTGGAAAGTCACGCAAGGGACCGGTCTGCTTGAGTTAGGGTTTAGGATGCGGGGTTTAGAGTTTAGGATTTCCCGGTCTCTCTGAGGCGGCGCAGAGCGCAGAGCTGAGTAAGTTCCGCAATTCACAGGAGTCGGAAGCCCGATCCCAGCCGAGGATCCTACCCTGGGGCTCTAAGCATATGTTGAGGCTCAAATTTTGCACCCAAAGACCATAACATACAAGGCTTTTGGGCTATGTTCCCAAAGGGTCCAAGTATCATTATGGTATATACTTATAGGGTATTTGGGGAATCTAAGTATATACCATAAGGATAATTCTAGGATGCCCAATAGTACCCTTATTCCCTTTTTGTAGTCCTAGGTTCCTTATAAAGTTTCCCAATGCCAAAAAGAGAGGCCTGTTTATTCTTAGGTTACTGGGTATCCTAGACTTGGTTGATCCCCAGGGCTTTGGTCTGAAACGCCGCGCACTTTCGGAACATCCTGAGCTTCGAGTGTCGGGCCCGCTGCAAGGTGGAAGCCCCAACCAGAACATCCCTGTACCCAAAGGCCCCAAAGTAGTTCCATTTTGGGAATCATATATAGAACCCTGTAAGGTAATCCCAAAAAGGAACTACTTGGGGGCCTCTGGGTACTTTCAATTCCTTGTACCTATACCCTACCATTCGATTCCTCTCTGGTTGGCCAACTTTCAGGATAGATCGTCAGAGAATGCGATGCTTTTTGAGTGTTGTCAGCGGTGGCCAGGAGGTCTCGGATACTGGGCGGGATAGGCATCAGCTAATCAGATAAGGGTCTAACAAAATCAAACGGGGATCAGCTATAACTAGAAACTACATGAGGATCCAAAAACTCAACTCTGAAATGCTGTAAGTTATCATGTGTGCAGCACGAAAACACTCACATACTGGTGTTGTCCCTTAAAGAAGGAAGGGAGGAAGGAGGGGGATATAGGTTGCACCGGAATCGGCACATGCAGAGGCGTGTTTAAGATACATATGTATATATTTATACAAACATATACATACACATGTGATGATGATGATGATGCCACATGAGGAGGCAAATGAGGGGGCGTGTTTAAGACATATGATGAACCGGAATCGGCAAATGAGGGGGCATGCTTTAGATGTATGATGAACCGGAATCGCCACATGATGGGGTGTGTTTAAGATACATGATGACCCGGAATCGCCACTATGGACGACGCATACTTTAGTTACGGCCCCCATACAGTAAGAGTCTATAGGGCTACTATTATGGTCCTACTATATCTATATAATATGAATATTATTTAACTATTACTGAGTGGGGGCCGTACCCAACGCATACTGCTACTGCCAGTACCACTGCGACCCAAGCAGTCTGCGCCTTGCACCGCGTTTGTTGATCCCTGTTTGCTTTGGGTGTGGCCCGAAAGGTTGTAGTCTTCAGTATACCCGCCAGGAGATTTGCTTTTTGATGTTTGATGCCAACCTAGACCCTCCATCTACCCTCTATTAGACCCCAAATGCCCCTTATGTGGGACCATATACCCCTATTTGAGGGCACAAGGAGGGTCCTGGAATTTTGATTTGTTTTTCGATCAGAGACCTCTCATTGTTGTGGTCCCTGTTTGATTTTGACCCCTCGGCCATACTTGGCCGGGTCATTTCGAGCAGTGCTGTAGGCGAATTGATGACAAAGCGGTAGCCCCCAGAAACCCTGCTTTATGCATAGAGGGGATGAAATCTATACATAGCATCACCGATGTATCTGACAATCATAGTGAGGCAGGATAGAAATGCTGGGGTTGTGGGTTACGGGAAGAACATAGACGATCAGGCGGAGATATCACGTAGGCCTTGCATGCAGCGTTCCCGTGGTTATGCTGAATTTTCACAGGTTCCCTGGTTAGCCTAAATAAACCCTAGCCCCCAGACCCTAAAGGTTTCCTAAGGGTCCCTAGTACCTTAAGCCCCCTTGAACAACACCCCTTAAAACCCACAACGAGCCCTCATTGAAATTCAAGACCGAGTTCCCCTTTGTGAAGGAGAATGCCACCCTCTCCGAGAACGCCGCCTCCGGCGGTCAGGAGGCGGCAGGGCGGGGAATTCAACATAGGCTCAAACCCTGAGCCGAAAAAAAATTAACCCTGCACCCTCCCTGCAACAGTCTTCAACAATCAAAAAGCCAGATACGCCATCCACGAACTACCGTAGGATCAACTCTTAACCCACAACCCCATTGTTTCCATTGAAACCGTTTAGGGGTTCGGGATTCAAGGTTTAAGCATTATTTGGGCATCACCAGGACTTTACCGGTATTGCTTCCTGGGATTCCCTTTATACCGTTCTGTCTGGGATGTGGTCGAAGAGAGTCCTGGCTAGTCTGGGTTGGGCTTTCAGCGCTAGGCTACAGTCTTGTGATGTGGCGGTTGCACAGTCAACCGTAAAGGTACCATAGCAAGGCCGAAGGAAGGAAGGTCATACTAAGCCTTACCCAAAGGCCCCAAAGTAGTTCCTGTTTGGGGTTTATATATAGAATCCTATAAGGTACTGCCAAAAAGGAACTACTTTGGGGCCTCTGGGTAGTATGGCCGTATTAAGCTCTTGAGGGCCATGGCTGCCCCCTTTTTTCTGCAACCCCAGCATGCGATTCGTCTAATGTGAGTTTTCGTTGCGCCCTCCGGCGTCTTCGTGCTTCACTCTGGAAGAGCAGGGGAGCCTAACTAATTACGTGCTATTGGGCGGGTTCCTGAATATAAGTTTAGTATATAGTCTACCCCCAATCCGTATTCTGCTAATTAGGGCCGCTACAGTAGGGCTCATAGGGTGCAGGGTATGTATTCAGCCTAGTCGACTTGTGAGATGGTATAGGCCACAGATAGGAGGTGAGGATGGAGTCCAAGGCAAGCATGCCGTTGCTAAGGTAGAGTTGCATATCTTGTTTCGAGAGCCCCGAGGTTGAGATGTACAGTAAGCCCTGCCACCTTCTACTCATTTTCCTTTATCTATCAGCGTTGAGCGAAGCCCAGCCCACTTGCCTCCAGCGTACAACGCAGAAAATGTCATGACTAAAGCCAGCCAAACCCGACCCCGCCGACCGAAATCCAAAAGTTCCGAGGTCTTAAGCCCTTCGACCGAGACAGCTACGCCAGAGATTTTTTTGGGTGTACAAGGACATAAAATGCAGAAAACCTTGACCTAGACCCTCCATCTACCCTCTATTAGACCCCAAATGCCCCTTATGTGGGACCATATACCCCTATTTGAGGGTACCAGGAGGGTCCTGGGAACTCCTCCTTTTGCTGGCTCGCCAGGGAAGAGTTTCTGTAGTGTCACCCCCTGGGAGCAGCCTGTGCCTGCCGCGATGTCATACGTGGCGCACCTGCTCCCCATGCCGATCGCTGCGGTTCCCGTCAGGCCGGGGTATAGGGTTTAGATTTTGGGAGGTTAGATTTTTTACTGTTTAGGGCCAATGAGAATTTAGGATTTGGGTTTTAGGGTGTTTTAGGGTTTAGAGCCATGGGTTTAGTTTTCAAGTCTTTTTATGGTTCATAGGAGTTTAAGGGCTTACGGTCTGCCGTTCCTGCCATGCCAGGAAAGTATTTGTAGATACGAAAGGTTTTCGAACCCTACGGATCCATGTACCTACGTAGTTTATACTTAGACCTATAGATATCGAAAGTCTTACTTTAAAAGCGGATTCTAGGGGCGCGTGTTGAAACTCGAGCTTTTTTGGGCTCTTTTTTGCTTCAGGGCCTGCAGTGGCATTAAACTTTCGCGTTACCTTCGGATGTTAAGGTCTGTGGCTTCGGTTTTTCAGTTTGGCGCTTTGGGGTTTTGGGTTTTTGAATTTGGCGTTTGAGGGTAAAGGGTTTAGTGCTTCAGCGTCCGTCAGGTTAGAGGGGTGCTTCAAGTTTAGGCGCTTTTTCGAGGCTGTCAAGTTCCAGGTTAGGACCTGCTGCACCCTCGCCCAAAGCCGCAGACCCTAAACCCAAAGCTCGAAACCCTAACACCAAATCCCTTTCCTTCAACTCATACACCCAACATCGCAAAAGCCTGAACCCCTAACTGCTCAAGGAGGGTTGGGAGTGAAAGGTGGCTTCGGACTAGTGCCGATCTCCAAGCTTACCTAGGGGTCACTGTTCAACTCAGTTCAAAATCCTTCAAAGAAGGATCCTTCCATTGAGGGTTTCTTCAGGCCCTTATACTACGGCTACTTCAATCTATGGAGAGTCTATGCTCTACGAGCGGCCGGTATTCTGTGGGACTCCTCAAAGCACCGCAACACCATGTGTACGTCACTATGTGAGGTGGAGATCCTATGTAGAACCCGGGAGCCGGGACCTATGTGTAGCCTTTGGTGCATCTCGGAAAGCTGAAGCAGCATGTGTCCTCGACCCTGATCCGTTAAACCACATACACCCTGACTTAGCACTATGTCTTCAAAGAAAAGAAGGCTCAGAGGCTTGTTCAAGCTCAGGGCACCATATTTAGACTTTGGAGGTCCTTGTAATTGAAATTTCGGGGGTCGTGATATCAATATGTAAGGGTCGGTTTGCATCAAGCAGGACCTTCTCATTTCCTGCTGAAGCCACGCCCTCGAAACAAGAGGCATGGCCACGCCAAGTGCAGTGGCACTGTTCGCCCTGCAGGTCGCGCAGCAGAGGGCTATCGAGTTTGGAGTCTGGCATTCAGGTTTTGGATTTTAAACTAGACTACATGACTACCAGTATTAGTCCGTAGGGCTCCCTATTGTTTATCATACTACAATGGACCCCGAAACCTTATCCTGATTTTTCAAAGCGCCTAGATTAGATCTCAACTGAAGGTTTAGGGTTTTGAGTGGAAATTAGAAGAAGGTAGGAGTTCGTGCTTCAGGGGTTTAGGGCCGCATTTACGACTACGGTGATGCTGCTGATGACCTGCTAATAAAGGGGCCTTAATAAAAAGGATAGGGTTTGGGGGTGTATTATACTATACTCAAAACAAGGAACCCTCAAACGCGTAATTCTAATTATTGAAGCCCGTACATTACGCCTTGCTGCTGTTATTCAGAACGGTGCGACTTTGGGCCGCCGTCGTTTTTGTTGGTTGTGCTTCAGGCCTTCGGAAAGTGCTGTCGGGCAACTACGTGTATAAGAGATCGTGAAGCTGAAGTTCAAAGACGGAATTCCTACATGCGAAAATGGTAGTGATGAATCAAGACTGAGAGCCACAGCGCGAACAAATGTAGCTTGATGATTGGGAACCTCACCACTGTCGGAGGCCTCACAAGGTGGGACGAAGGTAGGTGGGATTAAGGATCCCTAATATAAGGACTCTTATTTGGGAATATCCCACCTACCTTCATCCTACCTTTTGAGGCCCCCGACACTGACCCCCAAAACTAGAAAAATGCAAGATCCCCGAGATCCTCTCAACATCCTATGCAATTTGTTCGAACCTCGCAAAGACCCCATACAGCCATCGCATGCAGCCTGTCAAAGCTTGTGTGGCACCTGTTAGAAGCCTCATGAAAGTTTCAACAGACCGCCATATAAACCCTAAACTCTAAAAACTAAGCCCTTAAACCCTATCAATCTAAACCCTAAAACCTGAGAGCCTAAGACCTTACCCAGAGGCCCCAAAGTTGTTCCTTTTTGGGATTACTTTTTAGGATTCTATATCTGAACCCCAAAAAGGGACTACTTTGGGGCCTAAACCCCAAACTCTAAACCCTCAAACCCTAAACCCCAAACAACCCTGAAAACCCTAAGACCCTACTTAAAGGCTCGTGGGGCTTAGTAAGTAAGGTTATAAGTAGGTTATAATTAGGATAGCCCCACTTAGGGGACTTATAACCCCAGTTATAACCTACTTACTAAGTCCCGTGATCCTCTAAGTTCCCTCTTATACTAGAACCCCTATAGATCCCTTTAAAGGAGCCCTTTAAGGAACCCTACTTACTAAGTCCCGTGATCCTCTAAGTAAGACCTTAAACAGCGAGGCGACGACTTCGAAGTTGGTCCAAAGCCCACAGCGGCAGAATTCCACCAGGCAATGCGCTCCCAAGGAGCCCCATACCCCTGAATTAAGGATTAGGATGCCCAGTAGTACCCTTATTCCCTTTTTGTAGTCCTAGGTTCCTTATAAAGTTACCCAATACCAAAAAGAGAGGCCTGTTTGTTCTTAGGTTACTGGGTATCTTAGAGGAATATAGCCTAGGCCCAAGGATTCCGTAAAGGGATCTATAAGGTTTCTATAAGGGAATTAAGGAATATAGCTTATAATTTATCAATATGAAGCCCTACATAGTTAAAGCCACATTCCTTAATTCAGGGGTGTTGGGCTCTCTGGGCTTGCTCAGGGTTGAAAACCCGGATCCATTATGAATCTTTGGGTGCAGGGTTGAAGGTTCAGCGGATTAGTATGCTTCTCGGCCGTAGGGTTTAGGGTTCAGGGGATTCATAAATATGAGTATATACATATATATGTATATGTAATTTGCTGTTGTTGCTGTTGTCGATTTTGGTTGTGTAGGCTTTTCTTAGGAGCCGGGTAGGTTACGAATATGTTGGGTCCCTTGTTGATGCAGCTTCTTCATGGGCTGGCTTTGGAGGGTTAGTAGGTTTTTCGGGATTCTAGCCATTCGAGGGTTTTTAGGTGGTTTGGGTGAGGTTCAAAAAATTTCTGGGCTCGGGGCTTATGGGTTTCGGGTCCGTTTTCCGGTCCTCTGCGGGTCTAAGAGGGTTTAACGTGTAGGTCTTCCGGGCGTTGTGTTTAGGACTCCCGGTTTTCGGTTGCGGGTTACTATAGTGACCTTTATAACTAGACGAGGGTTTGGGGGTATATTATACCATGCTTATAAGAAGGTGCCCCCCAAACCCTTTTCTAATTATTAAGGCCCTTACATGGGTCATCATGGGTTTGTGGTTTTCTTAAGCTTGAGGCGGCGGTTCACGGGTCGGATAACAGGCAATGCCAGACCCTACATGCATCTTGAAAGACAACAACTCATAGGGACCCTACAAGGGTAGTGGGGAGGGGGGGCGGGGGACTAGACTTCCTTAATTAAAGAGGCCTTATTCCCCCTCTCCCCCTGCCCCCCTTAGGGTCCCTAAACCCCGAGGTTGATTAATAAGTAACAATGTCGCCTCATGTAGGTCATACGCGTTCGTATTCATCAACCTGAATTCAACACCCTTCTTTAGCAAACTTAAACGACAAGAAGCCAAAACAACCTTATGACACCCTACTCTGAACGCTAAACCAAACTGGCACCAAGCCCGAATCCCTAAACCCGAATAGCCCTACCACCCTACACCCCTAATAACCCTGACCGCCAAACCCTAAACCCCAGAATGCCCTAATCACCCTAAACCCTATTGGACCTTGTCAGATGCAAGTGGAGTTGGAGCGGTCCAGAAGACAGCTCGCAGAGGAGCGGCAGGCAATTTTCGCACATATAAAAGTCTTGTAAAAGGGTCCTGAAAGGGCTTGATTCGGGATCTATTCAGATTTCTACGGCAGGGATCTGTTTGCGTGTACAGCCCGGGCTCAGCATGACTCAGGGTTCGGGTTTCAAATTCTTGGGGTCTAAGCCTTTGGGTTTGGTGTTTTGAGGCTTGCAGGACTGAGGCCTGGAGGGTTCAGTGTTCAGACCATGAAGGCTCCTAGGACCCAGAGTAGGGCCTTATTCCCTTTTTGAGGGTTTCGGTTCCCTTATAACCCCCTTTATAAACCAAAAAGGGCGCCCTTTTTGTTCCTACTTTACTCTTAGGTCTAGGGCTTGAATCTTTGCTGATGTAGTTGTCGAGGTATGAGGACCGAGGGTTAGGAGTTTGGGCTTCATGTTTGTTACTTGGTACACCTTCCGATGGGCTTGAAAGGATGATTATGTTTAGCTCAGGGGTTTGGGCTTTGTAACCCTGATCATCCATTCTGCAGCCTCATATACAACTTTGCTTTACAGTTCCAATCGCTTGCCTTCGCTACCCTAGGCACCCTAATTCAATCCTTACATGCGGGATCCGAAGGATGTCATAGATGTTGGATGGAGCACTTCAACCCACCCCCGCACCTCCCCTGCCCTTCAAGGTGAGCCACGGCATAACCCAAGTCCCAAAGCATGCCAGCCCTGAACGCCCAAACCCTGAACTGCACGGGACCCAGAAGGGCCCACGGGCCCTTAACATACTCTAACAATGAATGGAGGGGATGAATATGTAACATGACGATTCCATAGGGCCTCTACATAAAAATGACCCTTTGTAGCATTGTAGTACGGCAACCCTAGTCTGATTGTGTCTGCTTCGATGTATCAACCCCCAAGTCCTCTTGAGAACCCTAGTTGATCTTCGTCGAATGCGTAGAAGCCGGATACAGAAAGCGAGTTTCTCCTGGACGTCAGAATCCCGAAGACCCCCAAACCCGCCTAAGCCCTAAACCCCAAACCCTAAACCCCTAAACCCTAAACCCCTAATCCCTAAACCCCTAAACTGCTAAACCCGCAAGCCCTAAACCCCAGCCACTAGGTCACCCAGAAGCTGCGAGAGCTCCTTGTCATGCAAAATGCAGCTGCCCGGCCGCAAAGATTCATTCGATTGATCGGGCGGGGGTTTCTAGAGCTCCGGATTTCGGGATCTTCTGTTGGTATCATGTCAAAAGAAAACTAAACCACCTCAAGTCTGAACCCTAGACCGCTAGTTGTGGAGTTTTCGACTGTTTTTGTTGTGGGGGAGGAGGTGTTGGATGGTGTTGGAAGTTTCGTTCCATGAGTACCAGATTGTCATGGTGCTTGCAGCCTTCCTAAATATCTGAGGGCATGCTGGGCCCTATGCTCAAGGCCCGCTACGAGATAGGATCCACAGTTTCAACAGGTCGCCATTCATCATTTCAGAATTCACGCCTCCCCTCCTCCCCCACCGCGCCGCCCTCACTGATGACAGGGAGCCAGACCTTCCAAAATCCCTTAATTAAGGAATGTACCTTAAATCATATTAGGGATCCTATTATAATTTAAGGTATATTCCATAATTTAGGGGATTTTGGAAGGTCTGGGGAGCTACCTAGTCCCACTCCTTAGAACAATTGAAGCACGAGAATGGAGTTCCTGCGTGAAACGGAGCCCTTAGCTCCAAGGGTAAAAGGAGGGACCCTTAATAAGGACCCCTAGGTATATACCCTTAATATAGCTGTTATATATCCATTGTATAGCCCATGATAGGGTAGGGGTCCACACTAAGGGTTCCTCCCTTTCCCCTTTGAGTGAAACGAGCCCTTAACCTTACACCACCCAGGAAAGGGCCGACCGAAGATGTTGAAATATCAAAGCAAAGCCTACCTTAACCCGGAATAACCTACCTTTTTCAGGACTTATACAAGGAACTCATAATAAGGAACCCTAAAAAGGGTAGGTTATTCAGGGTTAAGGTAAGCCCTAAGCTCCTATTCCCAATGTAAAAGCCTATAGTCGCTTCTTCACACTGTGCAACACACTCCTAAGCCCTTAACGTCCTGCAAGACTCCTCAATCCCAAACCTCTAAAGCTCGAAACCGCAGGCAACCCCATGGAAGCCACCAACTGCTAAACCCTAAACCTTAAACCGGCAGGAGTATTCGCAAGAGATCACCTCGTTGAACAATACCAACGAGCACCTAAGAGGCGAAATATTAGACCTGATCCAGGACTCCAGGGGGGGGTTATTACGCTTCCCTTAAGGGTACCCTTTAAGGCTTCCTTCAATGGCCACTCACGAGTTCTCCAGGGATCTTGTGGGTTCCTTTACGGTTCTATATGGGTTTATGATGTTTTTGGGTAAGTGTTGTAAGGGCTTCATCGGTGGCTCCCGTCTTGTCCTCGGTTGGGTTGTAGAGCGGGGGAACCCTGAACAATGATGCTACCCCGTACTCAGGCCCTGCAGTCTGTGCTACCAGTAGTCTCTTGCCGTGCTGATTGCTCCTGTAGTAGTAGGCTTCATGTTTTGCTACATGCAGTTTCGGGGAGAGGCCTGGGATGTCCCTCAACCTTCCCGAAAGCTGAGATGTTATGAGCTCCTTTCCAAAAAGGGCCAACGGAACAGGCCTCTACATGAGGAGCCCTGTGCCCTAAACCCAAAGGCCATAAGCCGTCCAAGCTTTCTCTAAAACCCTAAACCATGAACCCTGTACTGCAGAAAATAAGATCCCGCGATGGCTGGCGGGGCGCATGGTTTGGGGGTTCCAGGATAGCTGCACTGCTCTGGGGATAAGGGTCAATACTTATAGGGTTTAGGGTTTAGGGTTTAGGGTTTAGGGTTTAGGGTTTAGGGGCCTCAATAGTTTGCTTAAGACTGTGGGATATATTGTACTATGATCAGCTATGAGGGAAGATAATATTTGTACTAAGCATATGTAAAGGTTTAACGAGCCGGCACAAACCCCTTGGAGTACGGGATGTGGTTACTAGTTAGTGAGACCCCTGCATTGCCATTGTATCAGCCGCAACACCCAACGCAATCCTACCCCCTAAACCAAAACCCTATAAACCCTAGACCCTAGGCCTTATAAGCCCTAGACCCTAATTAAATCCTATAAGTCCTAAACCCAAAACGCCCTAGACCTTAAATTAAACTAAACTCTAAACCCTATAAGTGCCTGTAAGCCCTAAGCCCTAACCCCAAACCTCGCTCGCCGAAGGACTTAGAGGCCACGCTCTGCGGCCAGCCAGGACAGACCCCAGCAGCGGAGAATCTCGTATCGACCTCGGGTTTTGTTTGTTTTCTCAGGGTTTAGGGTGTACCGACCTCTGTGGTTCTTGTTGAGGGTTTAGGGTTTAGGGTGTACCGACCTCGGCTATCTCCGTAGAGGTCCAACTGTCCAAGTACCGAATATTCATATGCTGTCCCTAATACCGCGAATGCTGACTTACCTAACCTCGGAAATGCAGGACCGTATGGTCGAGCTACCAGTAGGATTCTTCCTACAATGACCCTCCAGTGAAAATGAACCCTTCATGATTCTCAGAGGCTTACCGCTGCTGATGACTATTCTGTCAGAGCAGCCTGTGTCTGTCATTGATTGGTTGTTCTTATCTTGTCTGACGACACCTTAGTCTTGAACTGCTGTGAAAGGCTGGGTGTACCAAGTCTTCGGGTGACAGATAGTTAGGAGCACCTTATCGTCATACCCCGAACTAGGGTAGACACCTGGTGTTCTGGTAATGCTGGGTAAGACGGACCGTGCGCACCCTGCGGATTAGTTACAGTATGTGTTTGTATTCAAACAGACCCATACACACCCGATCCCGTCATTATCAAGGCCCGTCGATGGGTGGCGGTATTTTTTGCTTATTTTTTAGTTTTTGTTTATTATTTTTTTTCGTTTTCCTCGTGGCAAGCAAGCAAGCCAGCAAGCAAGCAAAGCAAGCAAGCCAGCGAGCCAGCAAGCCAGCGAGCAAGCAAGCATGCAAGCGTGCAAGCAGGCAAGCAAGCAAGCAAGCAAGCAAGCCAACACGCAAGCAAGCAAGCAAGCAAAGAAGTAAGCAAGCAAGAAAGGAAGCAAGGATGGAATCGCTGCAGCCTCCTGTTATTACTACCTACTACCTACTACGTACTACCTACCACCTACCACCTACCACCTACCACCTACCACCTACCACCTACCACCTACTACCTACTGCCTACTGCCTACTACCTACTACCTACTACTACCTACTACCTACTACTACCTACTACTACCTACTACTACCTACTACTACCTACTACTACCTACTACTACCTACTACTACCTACTGCTACTGCTGCTGCTACTCCTACTACTCCTACTACTCCTACGACTCCTACTACTACTCCTACTACTACTACTGCTACTGCTACTACTGCTACTACTACTACTACTACTACTACTACTACTACTACTACTACTACCTACCACCGACTCAAGCAAGACAGCGAGCAAGCAAGCATGCAAGCGTGCAAGCAGGCAACCAAGCAAGCAAGCAAGCAAGCAAGCAAACGCGCAAGCAAGCAAGCAAGCAAGCAAAGAAGTAAGCAAGTAAGAAAGGAAGCAAGGATGGAATCGTTGCAGCCTGCTGTTATTACTACCTACCACCTACTACATACTACCTAGTACCTACTACCTACCACCTACCACCTACCACCTACCACCTACCACCTACCATCTACCACCTACTGCCTACTGCCTACTGCCTACTACCTACTACCTACTACTGCCTATTACTACCTACTACTACCTACTACTACCTACTACTACCTACTACTACCTACTGCTACTGCTGCTACTACTACTACTGCTACTCCCACTACTCCTACGACTCCTCCTCCTACTACTACTACTACTACTACTACTACTACTACTACCACTACTACTACTACCTACCACCGACTACCTACTACCTACTACATATTACCTACTACGTAGTACCTACTACCTACCACCTACCACCTACTACCTACTACATAGTACCTACTACCACTGCTACTACTACTATTATTGTTATTACCACGACGACGACGACTTATTACTACTACTACTACTACCACCACTACCACTACTACCACTACTACTACTACTACTACTACTACTACTACTACTACTACTACTACTACTACTACTATCACTACTACTACTAGTACTACTACTGCTACTATTACTACTACCTACTACTACCTACACTACCTACGACTACCTACTACTACCTATTACTACCTACTACCACCTACTACTACTTACTACTACCTACTTACTACTACCTACTACTACTACTACTACTACTACTACTCCTACTCCTACTCCTACTCCTACTACTACTACTACTACTACTACTACTACTACTACTACTACTACTAATACGACTACCACTGCTCCTACTCCTACTCCTACTCCTACTCCTACTCCTACTGCTACTACTACTACTACTACTACTACTTCTGCTGCTACTTTTACTAACGCTGCTGCTGCTGCTACTACGACCACTACCACTACCACTACCACTACTACTGCTACTACTACTACTACTACTACTACTACCACTACTGCTACTACTACTACTACTACTACTCCTACTACTACTACTACTACTACTACTACTACTACTACTTCTACTACACCACATACCCCTACCCCTACCCCTGCCCCCACCCCCCACCCCTACCCCTACCCCTACCCCCTCGCCCCCTACCCCTACCTACCCCTACCCCTAGCCAAACAAGGGAAACGGAAAAAAAATGAGAAGAAAAACGGAAAAATAAGGAACAACAACCACGCCCCCGTCGATGCCCGTTATGCATCTGGCAGATTCCAGTCCGATTGAAGCACTACTCCACAAGCATGTGACAGTGTTACTGTTAAGTTTGTTGTTGGAAGACTTCTGACATAGACACGTGACATTCGGATCCATCGATTTGTTTAAGATCTTTGAGCTCGGGACGGAGACCGTGTATGTGCCGCCCGACGATCCGTTGGACAGCGTTAAAACGGGGTTGGTGGCGATGATGCATGATCTGCACGCTCCCCAGATTCCGAAGTGCGACTTTTTCTTGTGGTCGCTGCTGCCAAGGGCTGCACTTACACCGCTGACACACCGTGCAACGTGCCGGTGCGATTACTGACCGACAGCAATTTGCCACTGAGGTTTGCTTGGCACACTCGGTCGGCAAGCTCGGCCTCACAACTTCGTAGTGTACGCCAACTGATGCATGTTACCCGTCCTCAGAGCATGGCAACGGCTCTTCTTTCACATCCCTCTAGGTCTTTATGTTTCCTCTCTCATCCGATTCTGTCTCTGCTGAATGCACCAAAACCCTGGTGAAACACCAAACGATCGACTTATTTTATGACCACGACATCTACATGTTTTGCTCGATGCTTATACATGTATGCCAGATCGTCGAACTCAGTATGCCTGCGGGCGTTGCAGAAAAGGCATGCACACGCACAGAGCTAGGTAGGCTGTAAACTCCCAAGGCCTTTCCGAATGTGAACATCCCAATCGGTAGACCCTCGAAACCTGCGCTCTTAGAACCGTGAATCCCGAATCGCAAAACGCCCTGATGTGGGTGTCGGAATATTTAGTAGTAGTGACCGCTGCGTCTTCATACGACGATATACCCAATGCGATTCTTTTGCTAATTATTAATGCCAAACCCTAAGACCCTAAACCTTAAAGCCCTACACCCTTAACCGAAAACCCTAAAGCCCGAAACCGTAAAGCCGAAAACCCTAAAGCCCCAAACTCTGTACCCGAAAACCCTGAAGCCCTAAACCCCAAGCCCGAAAACCCTGAAGCCCTAACCCCCAAACCCGAAAACCCTAAACCCTAAAACCTTAAAGACCCAAAGCCCTAAACCCTCTGCAATCCCAAAGGCCACCATGAAGAGGGCCGTTTCCAAGAGATGCCTGACCAGCGAACCGATCCTCTGTCCTTGTTGTCATATTCGGGTTTCGAGCTTCGTGTTTAAGAGAAAGGGTTCATGGTTTAAGATTTCGGGCTTAGGGTTTAGGGTTAGGGCTTAGTTGGTTTAGGGCTTGGGGTTTAGGGTTTACGTACGTTGGGGTTCATTCATTTGTAGTACATAAAGCCAATCTGTAAAGGGTTCCTAGCCGAGATGTCCTTATACATGTCCCTGTCCGCAATGACGGAGTTACGGTTACGCCGTTACGCATGCCGACGATCGATTTCATAGGGCTCTGAAATGGGGATCATCCCCTCCGAGTTCATTAAATTGGGTTCTCTGGTATATCGCCAGTATCGGGGGACAAGCAAAAACCAGTCTTGCTCATCTCTTCCCTATCATTGTAGATGCCCGTTTCTAAGAGGGCCTTCATATTGGAGTGCTTTTGCAATTTTGCAATCCTACTTCAGGGAAAGCGGTCGTCAACAAGGCCATCTATTTGATCAACCCTGCAAACCCTTAAAAGCTCTGCTGACCTTTGAAGACTAGTGACTAGTCTAAATCCTTGTCAAGGCCCTCATGCGGCCCTGTCATAACCCTGGGTTGGGTTATTTTTGTTTCATGTAGGGGTTCATAGACCTTTCAGGGGTTTACAACCGTTCTTGCGGCTCTTTGTTGGCTTTTCCTTAACCCCTAAACCCCGAACCCTAAACCCTTCTTGCGGCCCCTGGCTGCTGAGCTGAGGATCCCACAAGAGACCGGATCACTGAAAGGCTTGGCCATCGACGGTGCCAAGGAGGGGACCGAGAAGTTGTCATGCGCCTTGGATGCACAGGGTCCTTAACAAGCCATACCTGAACCCAACAGTATGAATAATAATGGCCTGTTATGCGTGTTGGGCCATTTTGTGCATACTTTTGGAGGCGTAGGTAATAATTACACTGGGGTTGCTGCTGCTTAAGTTCTGTACTATCAGTATGCCTGTTCGGAAACTACAGTCATTGCTTGGGGAGTCCACTATCAAGTTTCCCTTAACCCCAAATTCATGACCCCAAGCCCCAAGCCTTTTATTGTCCTGTCTCTGCTTGTATAGGTTGCCATCAGGGGTGTCTGACTTGAAAAAGCAAGCATGGTGCCCTTGAGGTTGAAGGAGGCATCTGTTTAGGAGTGGTCCGTACTGCTTGTTCTCAGAGTCTTCATGATGGGAATGCCGGTGAAGCCATAAGCTCCAAGTACGGGCTCTAGGCGTCAATAGTACCCTAAACCCTAAACCCTCTAGGCGTCCATTGTTTCGAAGGGGTGGCTCTGGGAATGGAGGGGTTTCGGGGTTTCGTATGCTATCCCTATCCCCGCCATGTTATAGCTCCTTTTTGATAACCTGCTTTCCCAATCCACATATAGCAAGTACATTTTATATATATATATATATATATATAGATATATGTATGCATATATATATATATTGCTTTTTGTTGTCGCGTCTTTTACGCATGTCTTCATTTGTTTGCTTGTTTGGCTGGCTTTTTTCACATATGACTGGAGCTTTCCCTTTTTGAGTTTGCATGTGTCAGAGGATGTTAAATTCCGACCCACATTCCATAACTGCACTTGACCAAGAAACGGAACCACAAGGGCGTGGTTGCCCTAGACGATCGAACCCTGGAAACTGCAGGTTCTGACTACAACTCCTGAGATAGCACATACAGCGGCCTTACAAGATAATCAGGGCATGATATGCTCAGGTGGATTAAAATGTTCAGTGTATCACCTGGAGGCAGGCCGGATCCTGAGCACAGCAACGGTGGCTGCGCGCTGCGGATACCCCTCAAACGAGGAAGATGCATCAAATTTCACGAAATCATACGAAGGATCCGTCTGTAGTTAAAGGGACATTCCTTCTTCATTCGGTATTGGGCGCTTTGCTAGGCAGATCTGAGAAACCTCTTAATGGTTTCTTGTCACGTGTGACAGCTGCCTGTTCAAGCATGTATTCGTCTTCATGAGTTAGTTACCCAAGAAACGGCTCGGTCTTGATTTCGGGATGGTCAGGATTTTGGGATGCTTGTGGGATTTCCCTTCGCGTTTCAGGGCATGTATAGTTCGTCGAGCTGCCTGTCACTCTGGAACAGGCTAGCTGTGACTTTGCCGAGGTATCATCCCGAATTGGAATGAAATCATGAGTGCCCTGCCAGCAACAATCCAGGTCTGGAGGGGTCCGGATTAAGTATGTGTTTTGTGGATGTATGCGATTCCCAGAGGGTCCAAGTACCCAAATAGTCGGGGTTTAGATACCAAAATCCATACTCTAAATGGTTTTCGGACCTTGAAACCCTACTATTTGGGTACTTGGACCCTAGGGATTGTGATTGAAGGCTACGGAGGTCCGAACAAATTGTAGTCATTGTAGTTACGCCTGGCCAAGTCTCACATAGTCTCAGGGTAGTATACACAAAGAGCCTTTTGTACGTAGTTGGTTACACCCCTCTAGCTCTTGTTGTTGGGTGGCTGGCCTCAATTGTAACACTTAGAAGGATTCATAGACTGCTTGGGCGAGAAGGGTATGAAGGGTAAGTATTTTTTATTTTTTTGCGAGGGGTCTGAATCATGGTAATGCTTTACCCGCTGGCCCCTATGACATATGTATGTATGTATGTATGTACGTATGTATGCATACATGTGTGTATGTATGTGTGTATGTATGGATGGATGGGTGGATGGATGCATGGATGGATGGATGGATGGACCGATGGATGGATGGATGGATGGATGGAGTGACGGACGGATGGACGGATGGATTTATGCTACGGGACGTTACGTTACGTATGTATCTATTTATGTAGGTAGGTATGTAGTAGGTAGGTAGGTAGGTAGGTAGGTAGGTATGCAGAGAGAGAGAGAGAGAGAGAGAGAGAGAGAGAGAGAGAGAGAGAGAGAGACAGATAGATAGCCCAAACTGTCCGAGAATGCTGTGGGTGGCAGGGCTGAGGCATGGCGGGAGCCAAAGACATCGATCTCCGTGCAGGCCTGGGAAGAGATGTCACGTGCCATCCCTTGGCTGCAGGAGAGCCTGCCGCAGGGCCTCACTGGTAACGTGCCTGGGTATGGTGGCTGCACTTCCTTGGCCGCTCTTGAGCCCGGCAAGATTCACAGTCTGGACGACTCAGTTTCTGCCTCTTTCCGTGAGGCTTGGAGTTGTGCGAACTGCCAGGCCTCTCTGCAGAAGCAGAGATTAGGGTATAGAGCCCACCAGAAGACTCCTATTTAGTTTGTTCGGATCTTGTACTGCTTCAGCATACCGACCGTCAGGAGTTTGCGGGCACACCGTCCCGACCATGGCTCCACCCCAACCCTAAACCCGCAGACCCTGAGATTTGTCAGATGATATGGGAATGGCGCCATCAATTCTTATAGTATAGTTTAGTACGTGTTAAGATTGCATAGTATAATGCAGTACATCATAGTATATGGTATGTTATCTTAGGAGAGGCACCCTCAACCCTCACCCGATACGCGAGACGCGGAAGTCCAGAAAGCAGAATGCCCCACTTGCCTAAGTACGGGGCCGAAGCCCTCGAACGCCTCGAACCTCGAACCTTGAAACCCCAAGTCCTAGGGTTTAGAGTTTAGTGTTGCAGAATTGAAGGTGTCAAGGATTGAAAGCTTTCGAGTTTCAGGGTGTATGGTGCAGCCCCAAGGAACCCATTATTAAAGCTGCCCCAAGAAAGCTGTGGTTTAGAGTTTAGGGTTTAGGGTGTCCAACGCCGAGGACATTTAGAGTTTAGGGTTTAGGGTGTCCAACGCCGAGGACATATTGGTGGGCCGGCAGCCAAGGAGGACGACGGACACAGCATCGGCGCCTTGGCTTGATTTAAGTTACCAAGGGTTCCATTAAGGGTCCTATAAGGGTTTATAAGGGTTTACGGTTTAAGGAATCTGCCCAGTCTAGAATCCTTAGAGGCCTAGTACTCTCTCTCCCTCCCCCTCTCTTTTAGCATAGGGTGCTGGATATGGTACAGTCGCCTACGGACCAATAGTACTGATGATGTAGGCTCCTAATAACACCACGACAAGCACGACCCTAAAACCCCAACCCCTTAGCCGGCTCACATACTAGGATGCCCAGTAGTACCCTTATTCCCTTTTTGTAGTCCTAGGTTCCTTATAAAGTTACCCAATACCAAAAAGAGAGGCCTGTTTATTCTTAGGTTACTGGGTATCCTAGCATAACCTGGGGTCTCCTAAAGCATGACGCCCTAAGATCCGCAGACCACAATACACAATTTTTGAGAGATCCGAAGAACGCAGCTAAGCCGTCTCATCCCCAAAACCTGCTAAACCCTAAACCCTAAACACTACCCTAAACCCTAATGTAGGAACCTGATTAAGAAACCCGGGGCCGAGAACCCCCCCAAAAAATAGCAGGATACATAAGGAACCCTAATTAAGGCCCAAAGTTTCTTAATCAGGTTCCTACATTAACCCTAACCCTAAACCTGTTATTGTTCCTTTATAGTATAGATCCCCAATAGACCCCTTTAAAGGAACCAGGTTCCTACCTCAACCCCCCCCCCCACATAACCCTTATAGTACCCTTTAAAGGACTCCTTATAGAACCCTGGTTCCCACACTAAGCCCTTTCGACTGAACCCTTAAAGACAATCGGAGCAAAAGCCGAGGCAGCCTCCTGACGCGCTCCGGCTCGTCCGTGTCGAGCACGCCTTCCCTCGAAGATGTGCGGCGCCCTTAGTTCTGGTGGATTGTTGTTAAGGAACTTATATAGTTTAAGCTACCATAGTTTAGGGTTCCATTAAGGATTCTATAAAGGTTTAGGGTTTCACAATTTATTTAGAGTTACCATGCTAGGGGTCTACAGTAAAGAAGATGGTTTCCTGTATTATGGTAACGTAAATTTTAACAAAATCCTTCAACAGGAACCCAGTCTGGCCTTGTACGAGTTGAACCCTACCTTAGCCCACCAGAACCTTCTTTTTTGTAGGGTCCCTATAAATGCCATGGCAGCATAGCAGGGTCTATAATGAGAGACTACAAAAAATATGAGGGTAGGCGATCGAAAACCCCCCAAGTTCGGCCTTTAGGGCTTTTGAGTGTGGGCTTTTGGATTCAGACTTCGGGGCCTCAGGTGCGAAAGAAGCCTTATAAGCCCCAGATCCGAGAAGTCTAACCAACCCAAGGTGCAGGGAGTTTTGGCTCAGAGCATGCTTTTCGGTGCTGAGGAAGCAGTGTACCATAATCAATTGTCAACACTATGAGTAACACTCCGGGATTCCTGTAGCTGCCAGCCTAGCATGCCTCGCGATGTTCGCAAGAGGCCGGTCAGAAAGCCGGCCGAAGAATCAGGCACAACTACAGTTACGAGGTCGCAAGCAAGTACACTGGACCGATGAATCAAGCTCGCTTCATCAGCTAGCTGAAGGAAGAGTGTGCAAGGCAAGTCTCCGGGCGCATTTAGCGCTTGACGATGCAAGCCGCAAACAGCAAGAAGCTCAAGGACAAGTACAACCACAAAGTGCGCATTTCGTGGGCGTGGACTATGCGATCTGAGCACTCGCAAAATGCGGCTGAGAGCAACCCCAGCGTCGGCCCATGGGGATCTTCTTCGAGTCTACCGGAAGCTTACAGAGGGGAAGCAGGTGGGACTCAGTGAAAACTCCAAAGCCATGCTTCGCAAGCTCATGGGGAAACAAACACCCTCCGCGTCCAGGCGCTCATTCAGGACCATCAGCAGTACCCTCAACCTGAAACTTCAAATCCTAAACCCGAAATCCTATAGACCCTACGCCCTAAACTCCCGAAAGTGCCATACCGTGGCGAAAATAGAGTTGCACGTCTGATGGCTCTGTGTGTGTGTGTTGCCGTATGAGCGGCCTAAACCTTAAAGCCTAAACCCGAATGCTAAATTCTAGACCCTAAACCCCCAAGCTTCAACCTTGCTTGCAGGACTTTTGCACCGCAGGAGCTATGCCACCTTAAAACCTTGAAACCTGGACCCACTTATCTACACCCTAGGCCCGAAACACTAAACCCGACAACCTTACCAACCCTACATCCGAGATTGGCTTGGGCCGCGGAGTCACGCTTCAGAAAGACCTCTAATCCCGAGGCCCGCATGGATTCTTAGCTTCTTATTTCCATGGCTCGTGCTCAGGCCCTTCATTCTCGTGGTTCTTCAAAACCCCTCTAACTCCTTTGGGGGCTGTTCTAAATTATGGTCCCTTTTTGGGTACCCTATATAATAAGGACTATACTACTATAGGGCCCAAAAAGGGACCATAATTTAGAACAACCCCCCTTTATTAATTGCATTTCTACACCCTGAAACTCAGAGACCCTGGCCCTGCAAAATTCGCCCTGAATATTGCCCCAAAAAGCATGGGTTCGGAGTTTACGGTGTTGGGCACCAGCAGGAAAAACAGAGCAACAGCCGGCAAAAGAACGCAGCTGAGCATCTGAAAGCAAACCCTAAACTCAATTTCTGAGGTAAGTGATTCCCTCGGTGTTATTGGGGAGCCGTTGCACGCGAATTCCTGCAGCTCGGCGAGGCTTCCGCAGTTGCTTAAACGATTCATACAGGGTTTAGGTTGTCTAAGCATCCTGCAAATCAGGGTTCTACATGGGTGGTTGTCAATATTAGGGTCCCTTTTTGGGTCCTTTATTATAATACGGCACCTATAATATTTAGGGTGCCCAAAGCGGGACCAGAAGTTTGACGACCACCCAGGGTCCCGTCATTTGCTTGAGCCCCTGAGCTGCCGGGAGTGTTTCGGCTTTAGAGTGTGGGGTCATAGCTCGGTTCCGTTTTTGCTGGGTGCGGTTGCACGGTTTACGTAACCTATGTATGTCTGTATGATGTTGTGTGTATGTATGCACGTACGAATGTAAGCATGCATGAATGCATGCATGCGGGCATGAACATTGAGTTCAATATTATGCGTGGATATATGGGAGTTTCCGAAAATAGGGGACCCTAACATACGACCCTAAGTAATAGGATCCTTATTATAAGGACTCCAAAATAAGGTACCTCTAATTTTGGAAACTCCCATATGTATACATTCATGCTAGGCCCCCCTCAATCTTTCGAGGAGTGGACCGACTGGCCTCTTGCACGGATCCGAAGGATTGTCCAAGTGTTTAGGGTTTTACGGTTTTAGGGTTTAGGATTGGTTGAGTTTAGAGTCTTAGGGCCCTAGAGTTTAAGGTTTGAGGGTTAAGGTTCTCGGGCTTCTGTGCGCAGACATCTAAATGACTTCAACTTAGGTTGTTTTTGTGTCCATAAGATGAATCTTCCTGCTGGGGCTGCGGGTCAGAACGAAACCACACCTCCCCGCAAAGGTTCCTTTAGCGTAAGAGCGGCAAGCCGTCTAACTGCCATCCAAGCCAAACCTGAAAGCACCTCTACTTCTTAGATAGTGAACGGGGGAACTTTACATTTTGTGGCCTTAGATATTTGCTCTATCCTAGCAAGTTTGAGCTTTTTGGGGCCCGGTTGTTGAAGAAGAGAGACTTCAGGACCTCCCAAGCGCCCTTTAATGGAGCTCTTATGGTCCTTGTTCAATAGAAGTAGTGGGTATTCGGGGTAGAAGAGAGGGTCGTTGGGGGCCTGAGGTTTATGTTCCTAAACTCCCAACCGAAAAAAAACCGGAGGACCAAGAACCCCCAAACCTGCTAGGTGACCCTAAACCCTAATCTGGGCTTTGGAGTACCATACTTTAATACTTTTTTTCTCAAAAGGAACCCTTATGAAATACAAGTTTATACTTCTTTCTCCCTGGTTACTTAAAAGCTCAGAAATCCTTCGAAGTGTCGAATCCCGCAAAGCTAAGGAGCCTGCAGTCAGTGCCAGTTTCACTACCGGCTCCAGAAATGCAAGCGGCGTGCGGCACACCGGAGTTGAGATTTGAGTTTATGGCTTAGGGCTTAAAGGGAACTCCAGAAAGTTGGAATATGGATTAATGGTAGGACCCCCTATAATTTACCTTAAAGGGGCTACGAAAATGATATTCCAACTTTCTGGCTTCTACTGTAGAGGCTTGGATTGTTGTGGCTCAGGCTTCTACGGCTTTGGGTTTAGGCTCTAAAGCCCTAAACCCGAAACCCTAGGGGCTAACCTTAATTGCAAGGCGGAAAAAAGGTGCTCAGAAAGAAATCCTAAGGGCCGTTTAGTTTCATAGGTTTTAGCAGTTTAGGGTCTAGCTGGGGGGAGTTAGAGTCGAGGGTGAATAAGATAGAACTATTCAAAGGCCCCAAAGTAGTTCCTTTTTTGGGGTTCATGTATAGAATCCCATAAAGGTAATCCCTAAAAGGAACTACTTTGGGGTCTCTGGGTAGACATGACAGTCTACTTTGGGATGGAGTTTGGGGTATGTGCAGCCTGGGCAAAGACAAAGACGCGGATGGTGAGATCAGGCATGTGCAGCATGTGCTTCAGGATGAGCTGCTCGCTCGCTAGTCTTTGAGCCGGATCACCCTAAACCCTACAACTAGGGTTTAGGCTTTAAGGATTTCCGGTCGGGGGCTTGCACTAACTGTCAAAGGGGAAAAGGAGGGACCCTTAATGGGGACCCCTACCCTATAATGGGCTATGTAATGGGTATATAACAGCTATATCAAGGGTATATACCTGGGGGTCCCCATTAAGGGTCCCTCCTTTTACCCTTGGAAACTGTCCAACTTGCGATAAGATCATTGCCGTTGTGCCCAAGGGTTCAGGTTTCGCGAACTGTAGATGTGACCACATTGGCTGGGCTTTGGAGTACCATACTTTAATACTGTTTTCTTTATGGAACCATTATGAAATAAAAGTCTATACTTTTTCTCCCTAGTTACTTAAAAGCTCAGTTGGGCAGTTAACCCAAATCTCCAAGCTCTTTCTGCCCGTCCCCAGAGATGACAAGCGAAACCCTAATACAAGTGGGTGGTTGTCAAAAAATACGGTCCCTCCTTGGGTCCCTATTATATTACGGCACCCATTATTTAGGGTACCCAAAAAAGGGACCTTAATTTTGACAACTACCCAAGTAACACCTAAACCCTACACCCAAAGCGCCAGGTGCGGCTAAACTCTACACTCCTAGTCCGTCAGCCCTCGACCAGATACTAAGATAATCGGACCCAGGCCCCCAATCCTGGAGCTTGATGTTCAGAGAGTTGTTCTGGACGGGCATGTACATACATTCAACTTATGTTTACTTACTTACGTACACACACACACGTGTACGATATATGTATATATATATATATACATTTATATATATATATATATATATATATATATATATATATATATATATATATATATATATATATATATATATATATATATATATATATATATATATATAAATGTATATACATACACATACATACGTACACATGTGTACAAGAATATGCATATACATATATATATATATATATATATACACATATGTACACATGTATATGTCTGTATATATACATATCCATATCCATGTACATGTCCATATAGAGGTGATGTGTATGTACATGTGCATATACATATACCGAAACATACACCTAGATCAACACACACATCACACATACACATACTTAAACATACGTAGGTACATCTTCCAGCATGTGAATCCTTGGGTCAAGCGGCACCGCAAGCACCCAGAGCCCACAACGCTAAGTCCCTTGCTAACACCAGCATCCTCAAGTATTCCATCATGCATTTCGTTTAGCAAGCAGATAGCACTGCCCGAAATTAATTCTCAATCTTAGCACGCGAAGGGGCTAGGCTGGGTTTAAGACGTTTTCATCAGCAACGCGACTCGTAAGGAAGGAGTGGGTCAGAATATCAAGGGATCGGTTGAGGGTTTAGAGCCGCTTCCAGAACAGACCGCAGAAGCTCCAAGATTCCATCAAGCCTCCTACCCAAAGGCCCCAAAGTAGTTCCTTTTTGGGGTTCATATATAGAATCCTATAGGGTAATCCCAAAAAGGAACTACTTTGGCGCCTCTGGGTAAACCCTAAACCCGCACCTTAAAGGCCCTGCAGCTACGCACGCAATGCGTTCGGAGACCCGGTCTAGTCATCAAAGTCTTGCTGAGGTCCAAGAGCGACTTAGTCGATGCGCAACGCACAAGGACACAACTTGCATAGGGCCGTGGGGACCTGATGTTTGGCTTTGTTTCTTTCGATATATACATATGTATATGTAAATATAAATGTATATGTATATGTAGCAGAACTTAGGTGAGCAAAGGAGTATGTATATGTAAATGTACAAGCATATGTATATGTATATGTATGTATATGTATGTATATGTATGTATATGTATGTATATGTATGTATATGTATGTGTATGTATGTATATGTGTATGTATATGTATGCGTATGTGTGTGCATGAAGGTATGTGTGTCTAGCTTGTATATGCTGCATATATATATATATATATACACACATACACACATGCACAGACACATGCTTTGTTGGGTGTGTTCTTGGGTTTCTACCAACAACTGAGTGCGCAGCCGTTAATGCCTTGTGGGTTAACAGAAGGTTCCAAAAGTCATGGGGCAAGGGAACCTCAGCATCTCCTCCGACATAGGCTTTACAGTGCAGGAATTATGCTTGGCATCCCGATCCTTAACACCCGAAATACTGTTGATGATATAAGTCCTGCATGACCCATAATAAGGAATATGCCATAATTCCCATATATTCCTCATTTTGGGTAATGCAGATTTATATCATCAACCGTATCTAAGCCCTACAGGGCGAAAGGCCGTGAATGCAAGATCAAGTTGCTGCCTGGGCGTGGGCCATCGCTACGTGTTTTTTGACCTGCACGGGCACCTGCTGGAAATTTGCTTCTATTCCAGGGGGGGGCACTAGTGTACCCCAAGACCCCAAAGTAGTTCCTGTTTGGGGTTCATATTTAGAATCTTATGAGGTAATCCCCAAAAAGAACTACTACGGGGCCTCTGGGTAGGGGTAAGGAGGCAGCTACGGGCCCTCTTTGCGCGGGGGTTGAGATCCACGGTTCGGGGTTTGCGGAGTAAAGGGTTTAGGGTTTAGGGGTTTAGGGTTTAGAGTTTCCCGGGGACCCGGGGTTTCATGGCAGGGGAATCGTGGCTTCGAGGCGGAATATGTCCAGTGGCTTCAATGGCAACTCTACTGCAGACACAATGTGAGCACATTAGCACATGTGCGCATGTCTGTGAAGTAGACTCAAGCTGACGTTCAGCAATTCCGAGACCTGAAATGTGAGACAAGCCCTAATCCCCAAACTGCTAGCTGGTAGCTTAAGCCCGGCATCACATGTTCCGAAGCAGAGTGCCTGCAGTACCATTTGTCAACCAGTGCACCTCACTGAGCTGTCGGTTTACGTGTTGCTCAGAAGGTGAATTCACTTGGTGTCGCTTCTGATTGCACGTGGCATGCCTAGCTGCAAGGCAGTAATTTAAAGTCGGCGTGGTTCTGCTTGCAGACTTATGGGCCTTTCCTCTCTGAAGGCTCA